CTTTTCATCCAGCCCTACAGATTCCCTGCCTCGCCTTCTCCTGCCTCCTTAATCTACCACCGAAGGCTTCCATGTACCTTCCCCGTGTCTCCTCCTCTGATTCTAATGTATAGAATCAGCTGCAAATCTCCATTCTCAAAGGGCATGTGAGATCTCGCTCCCCCCCCCCCCCGGCCGACGTCATCAGTGTGGCTCAAATAAACTCACGAAAACTTGCTACAGGTTTGGGCGTCTCTAATGTGGACAAGAAGTATAAAAAATGGAATCCTACTGAGCCCCCTTACAAGGAGGGGGTGCCCAGGAGAAGCCCACCGCATCCCCTGGGATACCCACTCCCCAGTAGCTACTCCGTCAAAGAAAACAGCTTTGGGCCTCCCCTTCCCCACAGGTCCACACATTAATGAGAGGGGGTGTGTTCCAGCATCCGCTGGGCCACACTGTGTCTCTCCGTCACTCAGAGCGCTCCCATGGCACCCAGTGCCCACGGGATCAAGCCCCAGCTGTTCTACGCCAGTGCTTACCTTCGCACCCTGGGCTCTGGCCTCTCGCTGTCCTCCCTCCTCCCTCCGCAGAGGCTGCGGCTGACACCTGCACAGCTGCCTGCATTTCCCCCACCTGGCAGGGTTCTTCTCACCTCGCTCATTTTGCCCACGTGAACCCCTTGTTCCGGAAGCCCGCCCCCGCGAGCCTTGTGCTCCTGATGCTCGAAGCCCAACCCCTCCGTGCGGTGCGCAAAGCCTCCTGGGAGACGGGCGATGTCTCACGTCCCGTTCCTCATTCCCTGTGGTCATTGTAGTGGGTTTGCTTGTGAACAACTTGCATGTCACGTCGAGGGTAAAATTCACCTCTTTTCATGGAAAACCCCATTCAGGCCCCCAAACAGTTTAATGAAAGGACAAAATGACCCTGTCCTCTCATTTAGCCCACAGGTGTCCCTCTGGCTGAGCAAAGGGGTTCCATCTGCCCACCTTTCCTCATTCTCCTCTGGTCAAGGCTTTAAGACCAGAAAACCCCAGACAGCAGGCAATAGCACCCCAAATTTCTTCCCACTTTTTCATCCTTGAACAAAAGGGAGCAAAAGTTTGGACTGCATGTGTGTGGGCCCATGCAAGGGTGCACAAGGGAAAAATCTAAAACTCCTTTCCTATTCGTGACTCCAAATCCATTTTTAGAAGAGTTGCTATTTACATGTCAAATGCACAGGGTGGGACAAAAATAGGTTTACAGTTGTATGGAAAATAATACAACAATCAATAAATAATAATGAGAATAAACTGTTTCATGTACTGACCACTGCAAACCTACTTTTGCTGCACCCTATATATATATATATATACATAGTGTATATGTGCATGTTAACTATACTATTTCTATGTGTGTATTTGAGGCACCCAAGTCTCACTGCTTGCCCGCAGACCTCAGTTTCCCCGTTTGTGGGATGAGAGACTGGGCTTCGTTCAGCCCTGACGGTTTATCAGAGTCTGTATTGTTGCGGCGTGGGGAGGAGGAGGAGAGAGGAGTAGAGACCAACGCCCGCCTTGTGGAATTTGTTCTAATTCTTCCCCCTCCCCGTCTGCAGCCCTGCCTGAAGTCCCCCCATTTGTAACCCCCATTCATTATCTTGTTTAAAAATACACCCCCAGTATGCGTATCCCCGATACCCTAGAGCAGAGGTTCTCAGCCTGGGGCGATTTCGCGCGAGGAGATACTGGGTGGTGGAGACGTGGTCGGTCGGTTGGTATCAGCTTGGGGCTGATACTGACATCTAGTGGACAGAGGCCAGGGATGCTGCTCAAATTCCCGCCAGGCCCAGGACAGCCCCCCAGTGCTGAGGGTAGGAAGCCGTTTTCACATGCTCTAGACTGAAAGGCGGGGACACCCCGGTGGCCCTGAGAGAGGAGGGAGCATTGAAAGTTTAAAAGAGAAAAGGTGTGTTGGTTCTGCGACAGTCAGGTGCCTGGCTCTGGGCCCATCACCTCGCGGAGCCCGTTCCTGCCGCATAAGCCCCACGTGCCCTGTTTTCTGATAAGAATACTGTGGCTCAGCTGGTGAAAGCACACAGCCACGAGGAGTTAGATTTATACCTAATACAGATTCCCAGGTCTGTCTGTCACCTGGAAGGGACCCATGGGGATGGTCACCAATTCAAGGTGGAGGAAGCCTTTCTGCTGGAGCCTGGCCATGAGTTGATTTCAGAAGATGGAGAGATCAACACGAGCTGTGTGTGGGTCGGCCACGTGCAGAGAACTAAGAAAGCGATGAAGCCATGGCCCTGCCTGCACCGTGACCAAGTCCACGAGAGCAGGTTCCACCAGCAGATGCTTCCTTCCTGTTGCAGGGGCTGTTGGAACAAGCGAGGACTTAATTGGAGAAGGAGGATCGCCCACGCATGCGCCCAGCGAGGGACCTGAGCTAGCGATTGTGTGGAAGCGCAGGGACCAGGGGGGCGGCGAAGCAAGCAGACCCCATCCCTATCCTCATGGAGTTTACAGTTTTCTTGGGACGGAGGGGCAGACAAATTGTGAACAATTACAATACATCTGCAAAGAAGGTGAGGGGTTCGTGGGAGGGTCTGATGAGAGGACCAGCTTTGAGAAGACGGCTGGAATCAGGGGTAATAATGACGAACAGAGGATGTCCGCGCAGAGTCAAAAGACAATAAAAATTTAGGCCAATGCTTTGGGCGGAAACTGCGGCCGTCGACATTGGCAAGATGGGCCACCTGGTTGGTCTTTCTTGATTTCTGGATTAATGTAGAGGGGAGGTTTCCACCAAATCCACTCATTTTTGCCTTATTTAATGGAAAAAGAACAATAACTTCATATGATAACAGCATTAATCACGCACTGTTCTCTGAGCATGCACAGCGCCCTGTTTTAAGGAGAAAGATGCAGAAAGATAGACTATTTGAAGAAATACAAAAGCCTAAAGCAGTGGTCCTTACACTAGCTTTACATCAGCGAAACACAGATCACTGGACCCTATGGGGGGGCGGGGAGTGCGGGCGAGAGCTCTGATCCAGCAGGTCTGCGATGGGACCTGAGAATAGACCTTTCTAGCAAGTTCCTAGGTGCTGTTGCTGCTGGGTTGGGGACCAGAGGTTGAGAACCACTCCCCCAGGGTAACCAGACAGATCTGGGGGCTTTACTAATGCCTAGGCCTGCTTAATCTGAGTCCCTGTATTCTCAAAAAGAAGAGCGACATTTAGCATAATGTCTTCCAACTGTATCCACAATGTAGCAAATGGCACGCTTGCTTGCTTTCTTAAGGCTAAGCAATATGTCATTGTATGGATAAACCCCATTTTTCGTTATCCATTCATCTGTCAATGGGCGGTTAGGCTGTTTCTATGTCTTTGCTATATTGTAAATAATGCTGTAATGAACACAGAAGTGGGGATCCTGGTCTGGACACCTTCACAGGTTGCCTGCTCCAGCTGGGCCCCTCCTCCCCTCATCAGGCTGCGGGGGGTGGGGGTGGGGCTGGGGTGGGGCCTGGCTGAGTTGCTTCACCTGGGATTGAGCTCACCCCAGGGACAGGACAGTGAGGAGAGGGGGAAGAAGGAGAGAAGGAAGAGCAAAGGAGAAGGTGTGGGGTGAAGAGATGGTGGGCACTCAGCAGGAGTCAGAGCCCTGGAAGAGAAAGGCCCGCCAGGAAGAGAACAGAGAGGCAGGAGGAAGAAGAGGGGAGTGAATGAGCAAATTAGCGAATGAATGGGCAGAAGACACTCCCATCCTTGCGCACCTGGCAAACTCCTATTCTTCCTACAAAACCCATCTTCAAAGCCCCAGGAGACTTTCCTGACTCCACCCCACAATCTCACAGCCTGCACTCAGCCTTTGTCACATTCTGTTCATTTGTTGAGTTCCTGCTATGTACGTTGGGCACTGCCCTAAAGACTTCAAACACTCATTGCAACCCAGGGAGCGAGCCCTGGTGTTACCCTCATTTCAGGGGAAACTGAAGCGCAGAGAGGCTACTTTAAGCCATCCAGTGTGCGGCAGGATGAGGCTTCGCCCGTTGCTTCCAGTGGCAATGGGTGAGAAAGTGATTTCCTCCATCAGAGAACCATTGTTGGGTGGGTTCATTTGTTTCTCCTCCCAACAAGCTTTGGGCAGGAGAGCTGCAGAAAGAGATGAGACCCTGAAGGCCCGTCCCTGCTCTGTCAAAATCTCACTGAGACTGTGTGGTCTGGGCCCACTTGCTTTTGGAGCCTCGGTTTCCCTGCTGCAGGAGGACGGGCTCCGAGCCCCGCTGTGACGGACAGGTCTCGGCTCCAATCAGGGCCCGAGCAGCTCTGACCGCCCCCCCCAACCTCTCCCACCTGCCGGGAGCTTTGAGGATGACGCTTTCCTGCCACCTGGTGGCTAGAGCGGAAAATGGTCTCTTGAGGGCGAGAAGCAGCGGAAGGGCCAGCCCCGCGGAGGAGACGAGAGAGAAAGGGGAGCCGCCGGCCCTGAGAGGAGAGGTGGGACAGACCCTGTGTCTCAGGACCTTGTGACACCAACGCACAAATATGCCATTGTGACCTGCCTCTGGGGTAGGGTGGGGAATGCAGAGTCATGAACTCTCCGGCTCAAGGTGACGACACACTCAGGTGGGAATGGCAGGCAGTGGGTACCTTTTCAGGGACTGGAGCATCCCTCACATGCCCCTGGGGGCACCCACGTAAGAGGGAGCCCAGGTGGTCAGCCATGCCAGTCCCTCAGGGGGCAAAGGGCTTGTCATTCAGGCAAGAACCAGAGGCTCGGAGAGGCTGGACTCTGTGCCCAGGATCGCACAGCTAAGTAGCCACAGAGCCTCAAGACAGTGAGGCTCCTACCCGTCACCCATACTTTCTGGGTCTCTCTGTCTCTCTCACACCACACAGCGCCCACCTCCCACTGGAGAAAAAAGACACTGCAGTGGGCCAGTTGCAAGTCACACTTTATTCACTCACAAGAGGTGGGCGGGGTCCTGGAAGGCAGACCGGGCCCCGGGGAAGGAGGACATGGGGGGCATTAGCTGGAGGGGTGGAAGGCGCCCCGTTGGTGCCAGTGCATGTCGCGGATGCGGCGCACAGACTGCACCTGGGGGTGGGGGGCCCCAAAGTCACTGCTGTCCTTGTAATCCCCCTTCTCCAGCAGGTACTGCAGCCCGCGGTAGCCAGGGTACTGGTAGCCGACCCACCTGCAGGGCCAGAGGTGGGGGAGGGGAAACAGATGAAACGGAGGGGAGAGGAGAGAGAGAGAGAATATCCTTAAGCCACTAGGAAGGGTGGAGCCTCCCAATCTTCCCCCTTTAGAATCCGCCCTCTGCTTTCCTCCTTCTCCTGACGGGGAGCTCACTACCTCATGCAGCAACTTTTAACTAAAGGCCTGATGCTGGGGTCAGAGGAAGGGGCGATCTTAAGCTCACTTAAGCTCAGAACAAGACAGGCCTCTCACCCCAACCCCAGGCCCAGCTGCGAGGCCGGAAGAGAGAACTAGACAGGGCTGGGGCGGTCCCAGGAGCCCCTGCGCTCCCTCGTCATTGGAAGCCATAGCCATTTAGGGGGTCACTCACTCTTCCCAGCACCCGATGAAAGTCAGTCTTCTCCCCAGAAAACGTCACACCGCCCTGACCCGCAGGGACCATGCCCCGTGGACGCCTCAGCTCTGCGCCTCGGTCTCAAGTCCCCGCACGCCAGTACTCCTGTCACTCGGGCCTCTGCGAGGTCCCTCGCTCCCGCCAGGCTGCTCTCTCTCTGGGACACCCTTCTTCCCCTGGGGACCCTGCAAGTCCTGCTCTTCTTTGAGATCTCAGCTCGAGAGCCCTTTCCTCGGGGAAGGAGTCTAGATGTGTGTGATTCTTAAATTATTTACACTTGTCCCCGGCTAGACTGCTGGCTACGCAAGGCAGAAGGTCCCTAACTGTGTAGGTCCCTAACACAGTGCCTGGCTCACAACTTCCATGGTGTAAATACCCCACGATGGTTGATTACAAGCTACCAACAATCCAACCACTGCTCACAGAAATTCTGAAAAGCTAAGAGTCAGCCCTTGCAAGCTGGTACAAGCTGACCACAGCCTGCTACTGCCTGAAGCCCGTCTGTGGACCCCCATGGAATCCAAATTTTTCACAGTGAGAAATTCCCCAACGCTGAGAACCAAGGTTTGCATGCCAAAGAAGGTTAGTCTGGTGGGAAACACAACTCCTTTTACCCAACTCAGGAATTCATGCATTAAAAGGCCAGCACGGACTGGACTTCCTGCCTGTCACAGCTTTGGTAAGACCACTCAACTCCTTCCCAGTCTCCTGCTACCCACCCTGCCCCCGCGCCTCCCTCGCCTCCCCACCTTCACCTCCTGCCCTGCTCTTTGGGGCTGAGGTTAACGCCAAGGTCTCTCCCCTCCAAAGGTAAGGGACTGCCCCGGGGGGCCGGCCTGGATGGGACTTCGGGGGGCTGAAAGTCCCCATCCGTGGGCTGACGACAGCCACGCCCACCTTCCAGCGGGCACTGAGGTCGGGAGTGCGCAGCTTCACCAGCGTTCCGGGTGGGGCAGGACACAGGACCGGGGCCTGAGCTCCTGGGGGACGGGGCGGGCAGGTGTGGGCCTGCACTCACGTGCCGTTCTGCACCCGCACGGAGGACACCTTCTCCTGGTAGCCGTGGGCGTGGAAGCTGGGCACGTCATCGTCTATGATCTCCATCTTCTTCCCCGTGAAGTTGGGGTTCTCGTAGAGGATGATTTTGTGCTCCTGGCTGTCCTGTTGATGGGGAGTAGGGGGAAGTCAGTGCGGGGGGAGGGGCAGGGGGAGCCCTCCCACCCATCCCCATGCCCTGGCGTTGGGGGATCAGCAACTACGACCACAGCCCGCGGCCCATCCCCCAACCATGTGAGTGTCTGTGACAACGACGGTGAACAGCGGCCATTGGTCGAGATCCTGCTGGGCTGCCGACATGTAACGGGCACTCCAGATTCTACACTTTAGGGAATATTTGATTCTGAAATGTCATTTTCTCTTCTACAGCCTCAACTCTGTTTTTAAAATAACTGACAACCATCATCTACACACACGCAGCCTTCTGGTGCCTCTAGGAGACACTTGCCGTATTTTGGCTTTCCTTCATCTCCACGTGTCTCCCTGTCCACCTCTTCCCACAACTTTTTTCTTAGTTACTTTGTTTAATCCTTTAAACGGCTCTTATGCCATTTGGCCGATGAGGAAACTGAGACTCAGAGGGGCAAGTGACTTGCCCAAGGTCACGCAGCTGGGAGTGCCAGAGCCAATGTAAGAACCCAGGTCTGTAGAAGGTTAAGTCCGGTGTTCTGCAATCCCCTATCAGGCTTGGGGAGACCTGGGCAGGGCTGGGCAGGCCTGGGAGTGTGACTGAGCCCTGCTGCGCGTTTGCCCTCCCTAGGGGCTCACACGGGCTTGAGCTGTGAATAAGAGCTAACCCTCCTCTCTACCACAGCCCATTCCAGAATTTCTTTTAATATTTACAAAGGCTGTAATTTACAATGTACTGAGCAATTGCTCTCTGACAAGAGTTGTACAGCCCTGGGAAGCACCGTCCACATGGGACAGAATGTGAGGAGCGTCCCCGGACCATTCTGAAGCCGTGTGAACGGAGCCCTGTGGGGCTGGGCAATGTGGCAGCTCTCAGGCTGCATGTGAAGGAATCTCAGGGCAGTAGGTATGAACGTACCCATTTTACAAAGGAGAAAACTGGGGCTCAGGAAGAGGAAGTGGCTTTTGCAAGGTCACACGCCTGTTTCCCCTGCCACTCAGAAGGGGTGCATTGCTAGAGGTAAAGGCTTCTCTCTGGTCCCAAGACCCCCTGACTCCAAGGTGACAAAGACAGCAAGAGGGACGAGGGACAAGGGGCAGGAGCTCACCACTTTGATGGGCCTCAGGGAGCTGAGGGAGTCCGTCCTCCGACTGCTGGTCCAGGAGTCCCAGCGGGGGTACTCACCCTTCTCGAACACAAACTGCTCACCCTTGCAGTTGGCTTGCTCGTAGCCCACCCAGCTGCGGCGGAGACACCGAGGGAGAGAAGCCCACACTTGCTCAGCTCGTCAACGAGTAGCGGCCCCACCAAGCCCAAGCACGGCAAACCCAAGAGCAGAATCACCCCGGGTATCCAGAACCCAGTGCTATGCTGACTCCACTCATCTGGAAACCACTCAGGAAATAAGGGAGATGCCCACACGACAGCCTGGCAACAGATACGGACCTACAGGCCCGGGCACAGGGCCCGCGGTGTGCTGGCATTCGCTGCCAGCGCTCAGGAGCAAAAATGCAGGCGTGGTTGGGGGCACAGGAGAGAGGCCCCCGCAGGCTGGCTCCGCTATGGGACATGCCAGGGCGGTCACATCCTGCTCATCACCCCCCTTCGCCTTTGTGTCAGGGGCCCAGGCCTGTTGACCCCCATTCACACTGGTGACCTGCTATGACCCAGGATGGTCAAGATCTGGGGAGGCAGCGTGGATGCCGAGCTGTGACACCTGACTTTACACCTCCTAGGAGAGAGGACGCTCCCGGAGCCTCCGAATCTCCGTGACTGTCTCCCTGCCTCGAGGAAGTGGCTGACCTCAGGGTCACTCTGTTCCTTCCTCCTCAGGAGGACATGGCTGTCCTCATCCTACAGAGGGGGAAACTGAGGCTCAGAGAGGGAAGTCCGCCCAGCCCAGTGGTGGAGGAGGCGGGATTTGAACCCAGCTCTCTCTGACTCCAAAGCACACACTCTCCGGATAGGCTGCCAGGGCCCAGATCCTGGTCCCCTGATTGCACGGCCTAGGAGCACAGCAAGGGCAGGTCCTTCTGGCTTCCCCTCACCCTGGTTGCCTCACCCAGGGACGAGGTGAGGCCCCTCCCCGGTACATACGGTCCAGCCTGCACCAGGACTGAGCCCGCCTTCTCCACGCCGGTCTCCTTCAGGTTGGGGCAGGGCCCGCTGAGCTCGTGGGAGTGGCCTTGGAAGTTCTCCTGCTCAAAGATGATGATCTGCAACAGCAGGAAGAAGTCAGGCCCCGGCCTGATGGGGAGGAGGGGGAGCAGGGCAGTGGGCAGGGGTAGGGGAGAGGACCAGGGAGCCCCACAGGAGGCTGCAGGTTCCATCCTGGGGAAGCACACACAAAACATCAAGTCAGTCCTGGCTCAGCCAGTCACCAGCTGCGAGACCTTGAGTCTCAGATTTCCCGTCTATAAAATGGGAAATGAAGACAGAGCCTACCTCGTGGGCTCGCTGGAAGGATTCAGAGAAACATAATATTAGCCCACAGCACTGGTTCTGTGCAGGGGAGGCGTGATGACGTTAATTAAGGCACCAGACCTGGGCGTGGGTGGCAGACCTGAACCTGGAGGCCAAGCGTGTCTGATGCTGTTTCTACACAAAGCGCCTGGGAGCTTGGTAAAATGCAGCTTCCAAGTCAGTGGGTCTGGGATGCGGCCCCAGTGTCTGCATCTCCAACGAGCCCCCAGGGAGGCGGGTCCCGCGGGTTTGGGACCACAGCAGGGGCAGCAAGATGCGGAGTTTCTCCCGCCCCTGTCAGAGCTGGCCTAGGGCCTCCATCCTCCATGCCCCTCCCCGCCACATCACCAGGAAAACTACACGTGCCTGTGCCCTTTCTTTAAGCCTCAGAGGCCCGCGAGTCTCCCCGGGACCTCCCCCTGGGATGCTTCTTAAGGGGACTTCACTCCCTTGCCTCACCTGGTCCTCTCAGCAGCCCAAGGCCTCAGAGCCGAGTGCTGACGGGGAGGCCAGCTGCCGCCTTGTAGGATTCCAGAGAGTGGTGTTTTTTTTGGAGGGGGGTCAGGGCAGAGGTTGTCCAGCCCCACTTCCCCGGGAGCTGCCTCGGGCTGAAGAGGTGGGTTCGGGGCGGCGGACTCCCTGGAGGGCAGCCGTGCAATCCACGCGGCCAGCCCTGGCTGGGTAAGCGCGTCCCTCTCTCCCAGGCCAGGGATTGCCCGCGTAAAGCCAGGGGAGGGAGGCCCGCCTGGGCTCAGAGACAATCCCAGAGACAAAGCCAGGCTCAGTCGGCCTTTATGGTCCCTGACTCGACAGCAGAGGGTCGGGAGACACTGACGTCACCTCTGCCGCGCCCAGCTGTGCGGCCCGGGAGGCGGCCTGACTGGTCTGAGCCACGGCTTTCCATTCCGCGAGATGGGCCATCGGGCTGATTTTGCAGGGTCTCCAAGAAGAATCAAGACCATGGAAGTGAGGGGCCAGTTTATGGTTACCCTGGCCTGGGGGACGAGGGCTTGCGGGGGTGGCGAGCGTGAGGGATGTCAGCCTTTCCGTTCCTTCGAAAGGCCTCCGAGAGCTCAGGGGCTCCGTACTGTTACTGTTGTTGCTGTTGATCAACAAATGGATGTTAAGTTTTTCACGTGTTATCTGACCCTCTAAACCTGGGCCGTCCAACACAGCAGCCACTAGCTACATGTGTCTATTGAACAAGGGCAGCAACTAGTTGGAATTAAGATGTGGCATCAATATAAAATACCCATCAAATTTAATATGAATAAAATAATGTAATAGAGCTCCCTAGTAATTTTTCTATTGATTATACATTTGGATTTATTGGGTTGAATAAAATATGATATGAAAACCCACCTGTTTCTTTTTACCCTTTGAACGTGGCCACTGGGAAATGCTCAATTATGTATACGTGGCTCCATTTTTGCATCCGTTGAACAGAACTGCTCGCAACCACATTGCACTGGCCTGCCTGCTGTTCCCCAAACTCGTCCAGCCCGTGCCGGCCCTGGGCCTCTGCACTTGCTGTGCCCGCTGCCTGGACTGCTCTCCCCGTGCCCCGCTCCCCGATGCTCCCGGGGCTGCTCCCTGGCTCGGCCGGGCTTCCGCCCCAGGGCCACCTCGGCAGAGAGGCGCTCCCTGAGCACCCGCTCACACGCCATTCCTTGTCCGCCCCGCCTCTCAAGGACCCTCCCTCTGTGTTTCTTTGTGACACGCCTTGAAGTGACCTGTCCATTGGTCTGCGTGTTGTCTGTCTTTCCTCTAGAAAGTGAGACCCTCAAGGGACAGGATGGGGTGACTGTTGGCCGTTGCAGGACGGACCCCCTGCCCAGGGCCCGAGGGCAGCCTGGTGGGTGGTTGCGGGGAGAAGCTCGGGGTAGGTGGGGTGTGACGAGCTTACAGTGGGATAAGACCCCACCACCTTCGGGCGGGCAGGGAGGATGAGAAAACAAAGAGGCATCGGCTGAACCCACCACAGGCCAGGCGTCAGGCCGAGCCTGTGTTCTTTGCTTCCTCACAGTCGCCCTCTGCTGCGAATTCGAGCCTCTTCACTTTATGAATGAGGGAACTGAGGCTTGGGAAGGTCAGGTGGCGGAGCCGGGGCACACAGCAGCATGGAGCCAGGAATCAACCCTCTCTCCCCTTCACAAGGTCTTTCTTAGACGGAACTGAGGGTCCACTCCAGCCCTGGGGAGCCGCCATGGAGAACAGGGTGTAGGGCGGCTGGTGAGGCAAGAAACTTAAGTCTCCAAAGGCAGAAGCTGGTGCTGGGAATTCCTGCATGTTAGCCATGGGCCAGGGAGTGTGCAAGTGGGGGACACTGAGGCCCAGGGAGAGGCAGGGACAGAGAGAGGGAAGCCTGGGGAGGTAGGTGCCAGCCCCACTTTACAGAAGGGAAACTGAGTCTGGAAGAAGAGCCACGCCTGCCCCCAGTGCCCCTCCCGTGTGGTACCCACCTTGGGGTTGAGGGGCTGTGGCTTGCCCACTTGGGTCTGGTGGTCTGAGGCCATGGTGGGCTGTCCCAGGCAAGGACGACCTGCAAGACATGGGGAAGCAGCTGTGAGGACCCCCTGGGCCCTCGGCTTTCTCATTGGGGGTCCGGGCGGCCAAGCCCCGTCCCTTGTGTCCCCGCTTTCAGGTTGTCCTAGAGCTGCAGGACCAGCAGGCAGCTGCCCGATGTCTACCCTTAGCTCGTTCTTTGTGTCCAGACCAGCTCCAGGGGGAACTCTCCTAGCAAATAAAGTGATAAATTAGAGCTTAAGTGGGGTCTCACGTGAGTCCCTGTCACTCAGCTCCAAACAAGAGTTGCTACACAGAGAATGCAGACCCACCGATGTCACACTGGAATTTCTTGATTGAAGGAAGCAGCGTGGGCCAAATAAAACCCATGCACCAGCCGTGCTTGGAAGTGTGGCGGCCCTCCATCTCACAAAGTCTCACGAAGCCCCCTGTACCCCTGCCCCTTCCCCAGCTTCCTCCTTGACACCGTCTCCCAGTACCCAGAATGCTCCTCTCTGCCGTTGGTCCTGCCCCCACATTGGTGCACCCATCTGTCATGGAACTCACGCTAAAGGAAGCCAAGGCATGAACATGAGGGTGGAAGTTCAGGTGCTGTGCTGGACAGCAGCCCAGAGAATTTCTCAGCTGGGGAGAATAGTGGAAAAGTCTGGAAAAGGGTGAGTTTCTTCTCCCTTCCTGTGGGAAGGGCAGTGAACCCGGCCTGTGCCTTCCTGGAGACGAGACAGCACCGGCTTCCAGAAGCCCCTCCCACCCCAGAGGCCAGGACCCTGCCTGACACAAGAAACTCCCGTGAGCCGCTCAGGAGCCACCCTGCTCTTCTCTGCGGAGACCCCAACCCTCCGAGCCTGTAACAGCGCCAGCGGTCCCCCCAGTGCGGTCCTGTCATTGGTGTCCTCAGACCAAACAGTCAGCTCCATTGGTTCAACTCGGGTGCTGGCTTCACTGCTTACCAGCCCTGAGGCCCTGGGCAGGTCACCCCCTCTGTGCCTCAGTTTCCTGTTCTGCAAAAGAGGGGCAGGAAAGGTGCCCAAGGCACCTCCGTGAACAAGCTGTAGTGATTCGGTAGTGCGGGACTCTCCGCACTTGGCTGAGGTCCTGGAAGACATTCAGCACCGGTGTACGGTGTTGGTGGGGCCACTTCCACCAGGCTTTGGTGGCTGTGAAATCACCTGTTGCTGGGAGCTCCCAGGGAGCCGTGACTGGTCCCCAAGGCGGGACACATCGCAGACGCCTGCAACGTTTGGGATTATGGGAGAGCTGACTCACGGCCCTAGAAGTGAAGCTGAATCGTCGCTGGTTTGCTTCCTCCCTCTTGCAACCCTCAGGTTCTCTTTCCCAGTCGCTGGCAAGACAAGGGGGCTGAGGGGCTGTTCAATGTTAGTAAAGCACATTGCCCAAGCCCCCCCTCCATGCCAGGCACGGTGCCGGGCCATCACAACAAAGGCGGTGTTAGGACCCCTCTCCCTACTTAACAGAGAAGAAAACAGGCTTAGGGCACTGAAGTCTTTGCCCAAGGTCATCTTGTCAGAAAGTAGAGCACCTGGATTCAAACCCAGGTCCCCCCCACATTCTATCAGGGATGAGCGTGAGATTAAAAGGCAAGGCAAGCGAGACAGGCATTCTTACCAGCGACACCGGCCCCCGAGAGTGTCTGCAGAGCCCGGCCGGTGGGAGGTGGACTTTATACCTTTCCCAGGACTGCCGGTGCCAAGACAGGGAACCGCTGAGTCCCCGCCGAAAGCGGGGTGAGAATGCTGAACTAAGCCCACACCAAAGCCCAGGTCAGCAAATGGCCACAGACATTGTGTCTCTGCACAATAATGTCATTAGCTTTCCAATTGCGCCACGCCAGGGTGGTCAGGCGTCTGGGCGGGCAGATGCCCGGTTTGCATGCATCAGCCGTCCGGCTGCCAGGCCCGGGGGCAGGCTGGGTTCACTGGTGTGGTCAGTGGGGCCCCAGGGAAAGGCAGACAGAGGCAAAACCCGGTGGCCCTGGATAAAAAGATCAAGTAGAAGAGGGTGGTTTGGCGCCATCCATCCATTCATCTATCCGTCCATCCAACAAATATTTATCACACACCTATTTGGTGCCAAGCTCTGTTCTAGCGGGTGGTGTGAGGGAGGGGACCTCCCCCAGGAAAACTCACAGAAGAGCTGACGTCCTCAGGGATGGGGAGAAATTGGCCTGGGAAACCAGGCTGGGAAGACAGTTCCAACCAGGGGCAAGGCCTGGGCTAGGAGCTGGGTGGGCCGGGGTCCCGTTGTGCAGGGCGAGGAGAGTGAACTGCATGCTGAAGGGCTGAAGGCGTTCCCAGCACCTGCTGCCCTTAAGAAGGCTGCTGTCGGGGTCCCAGGCCTCCGAGGCTTGGAGAAACCTATCGGGTCCCTACCGCCGGCCCCCACCCCCACCGCCCGGCGGGCACTTGGCAGTTGCTCTGTTTCTTCCTTGCAGCCTGCCTGCCACCCCCGACCCTCCACCCCGGGCCTTGACCAAACCAAAGGTTAGTCAGGACAGAGCTGGGGCGGGGAGGTGGGGGTGGGGGGGGAGGCGGCACCGGGGCTGGGAAACCAGGCTCCCGCGTGGAGACCGGCTCTCCCTCACCTTTCATGTCCCCAGGGCGCACCCACGCACGCGCACCCCCAGCTCCCTAGCCAACCTGCGGCCCCCTCACCACCTGACACTCCTTACTCTTTTATTTGCTGCACTTGCAATTGGGAATGTTCATCAATGAATAAATGCGTGAGCAAAATGTGATCTATCCACACAATGAAATACTATGCAGCCTTAACATGGAAGGAAATTCTGACACGTGCTACAACGTGAATGAGCCTTTAAGACATTGTGCTCAGTGGAGTAAACCAGACACAAGGGGACAAATACCGTGTCATTCCCCTTACCTGAGATTCTTACAGCAGTTACATTGATAGACAGAAAGTGGGATGGTGGGTGCCCGGGGCTGGGAGAAGGGGGTGGGAAGCTGGTGTGTCATGGGCGCAGAGCTTCGGTTTTGCAAAATGAAAAGTGTTCTGCGGACGGACAGCAGCGACGGGTGCACGACAGTTGTGGGTGAGCCTAGCGCCCCCCACTGCACACTTAGAATGATTCGCGCGGTCAATGGCATGTTATGAATATTTTAACCACAATAAAAATAATGCCAACTCCCAGCCCCCGTGAAATGTATTGGCTTCCAGTGCTGGCAGCTGGAAGTCTGAAATCAAGGTGTCAGTGGAGCCCGGCCGCCCCCGACGGCCGGGGGTTGGGGAGCGGCCTCCTTACCCCTTCCCGCTGCTGGACTTCGCCTGCTGCCCTTGGTTTGCAGAGTCCTCACTTCAGCCACATGGCCGTCTTCTCCCTGGGGGCCTTCTCACTGTCTCCTCTGCACGTGCGTCCACCTGCCCCCTTTATAGAAGGACACTTGTCATACTGGATGCCGCCTACCCTAATGCCCTCATTGTCAGTCACTCCATTTCCTCTGTAAAGAGCCGATGTCCAAATAAGGCCACGTGCTGAGTACTGGGGGGTAGGACGTCAATGTATTTTTTCTACAATTCAACCCGTAAGAGATGTCAATTATTATTTGCTGAATAAATGGATGGATTCAAGGCCTGGCCGTGTTTCAGTAAATAACGATGAATTGCTCACATTTAGATGGCATGAGATCTTATCACGAGATAGGCACTGTCCATACTTATCTCTTTCAATCCTCCCAACAAATTCAAGAGGTAAGCGTTTCATGTGTTATTCATTCTACTCTACAGAAGGGGAAGCTGGGGTTCAGAGAGATTAAGCAACTTCCCCAAGGATGCACAGCCGGCGAGAAGCAGAGTGGGGCTCTGTGGATTGAGCGCATACTAAGCTCACTAGAGGGCCCTCCATCTGCTGTCTCATTAAATTCAATCCCCACAGCCATTTTGGAAGTAGATAATATTAGTCTCTCCTGTTACACATGAGAAGCTGAGGCTCAGAGAGGTTAAGTAACCTGTCCAAGGTCAAACAGCAAGGAAGTGGTAGAGACAGGATTTGCACTCAGAACGCAGGGTTCCTAAGACCCCGATGCCTTCATCCTATGCTACTTCACTCTTCTCACCTCAGTTTTCTCACCTGCAAAATGAAGTTTCCTTCTCCTTCACACTTGGAAGAATTTAAATATTATAGCATTTATAATTATACACTTTGTAGAATGAGCCAATCATGAGAAGTCCTCAGCAGAGTTTCTAACCCAGAGAAAGCACTTAGTAACTGTACCTCTTCCATTATTCATTATTACTGCATCTACCTGGACTGCAATATTTTCAAAGCCTTTTGTGTTCATTCCTTCTTCATTCCCTCACTCCAAGGTGCGAGGCCAGAGATTGTCAGAAACCTGGGTGTTCCCTATATTCATTCATTCATTCATCCATTTCCACATCCTGAACACCTACTGTGTGTCAGCTGTGGACTCGGCGGGGAGTAACACAATAGCGTCCCTGCCCTGGTGAGGCTTACAGCTGACAGGTGCTTCAGGTCGCTAAGTGCGTCACTCGGGATGGGTCCTGGGCCACTCGCTCATCTAGACAATGAGCTCCTTGAGAGCTGGCGCAAGGCTCAGTCATGTTTGCATCCCCAGTGCCTGCCTGGAGCCAGCACATAGTAGGTGCTCAGAAAATAGTTGCTGACTGTCTGAATTAACAAATGAGTAAAAGGTGAAGAGATGAGAGAAGGTGTCTTAGTTTGGGCCTTGCCAGAAGCAGACTCTAAGAGTTCAAGTGCAGGTAGCTGACTTGGGCAGTGAGCCCAGGAAATACCAGCAGGGAGCGAGGCCGAGAGGCAAGGAAGGGAAGGTAGCCGCTGCCGTGGCCTCAGTGAGCAGGCTACCACCAGGGCTTCTTGCTATTACGTGGGTCATGTGATCCCTTCTGGCCAGTGGGTTCTCAGCAGATGTGACAGCTATAATTTCCAGGTCTACTCATTTTGTTGCAGGTGCCAGACTTGCCAGTGCCCAGCGATGGCAGCGTTGCAAGGTGGGGGAACCTCCATCAGCCTGGTTCTGTGACTGACTATGTGGAGAACAGCCCCCTGCTGACCAGCATCAGGCACATGGCATGAGTGAGAAGTAGGCCTTTGTTATTATAAATCTTCAAGATGCAGGGGCTGCTTGTTACCTAGCCTATCCTGACAGATACAAGCGGAGACAGGACTTGGACCCTTGACCCTGCCTCACCTCACTGCTACAAAGAGAATATGCCCGGGTGTCCCCAAATACAGTTTGAACCTAAGACGCAAAAAACCCAGAGTTTTGGGGCCTCTGCTCCCTACAGCCATGAACAGGTCCGCAAGGCCATCCCTTTTGATGAAGAGGAGAAAGGTGAACACGTAGAGAGCATGGACTTTGTTTTACTCGTTGTTCTCATCCTTGTCTGCACATCCGACTCACATTACTACAGCAACCTATGAGAGAGGGCGTGTGTTCTCACCTTGTTAGAATGGGGAAACCGAGGCACAGAGAGGTCAAGCGACATGCCCAAAGACACACAGCAAGAGGTAGAGCCTGGGAAGAAGCCCAGGTGGGACGGGTCAAGAGCCCAACGCAGTGGGGCTGCCTCTGACCTTTTGACTGTCTGCTCTTAACCATTAGGCAGCACCACCTCTCACTTGAGCAGAAAGGTGATTTCCGGGCCCTGAGCCACATTCCCCTGTGACTGAGGAATGCTCTGTCCCCTATCCCTCCCAGGTGGTGCCCCTGCGTCAGACAGAATTTGAGCCACGGCTGGAGCTAAGAACAGCCTTTTGGAGTTAGGCCCGCCATCAAACGCCAGCCCCAGGGCTCCCTGGCTGCACGGCCTCAGCAGCTGGCCTGCGCCCTCTGCACGGCCAGGCCACCGGGAGGATCGAACCGGCTAGTGTGCAGGCGCACGTGCAGAGGGGAAGCGCTCCCTGATGCAGGCGGTTTTGGGGACTTTGAGGCTTTGGACAGAATCAGTCAGACGTCAGTGACCTGGGTCTGCCCTGGATCGGTGGTCCAGCTGAACCCCGCCTCTGGGATGGAGCCTGGCCCGAGGGAGGGAGGGGGTACACCCACCTGGCACTAACCCAGGCCTCCTTGCAAGCAAGCCTTCCCCAACCCCTTACCTGGGAGCCAGTCCTGGGCCTTCTTGGTGTCAATGGAAACCAGGCACAAACAGCACCTGGCCCAACACCTAGCATGGAGTAGGCGACCAATCAATGGTAGCCACGCCCACAGCCAGCAGCTGCTGCAGCAAAGGAGGCTTCAGGCTCCGGATCCACCGCCCCAGCAGCTCGAGGGCGGAGAACCGGAGCTGGAGTCCTGGTCCCGCCCCTTAAAAGCTGCGTGTGGCCCTTGGGGCAATTCACAGGCACACCTCGAAGATGTTACGGGTTCCACCCACACCACCGCAATCAGCGAGCACCGCAATAAAGCGAGTCCTAATCTTTTTGCCGGTGGAGGGTCTTGCCTTCAATTTGTAAAAAACGCAACCTCTGTGAAGGTTTTTCTCTCAGTTTCTCAGTTTCTCTCTCTGCAAACGAGGGCCATCATCACGCTGTAAAGTGCCCAACTGCCCCTAGTGGACACATCGGAGCGTGCGGGGCTCAGGAATGAGTGTTCTAGAATAATCACACGGCGCTCAAACCTCAGCTCTGCCGCCTCCTACATGTGCGGCCCCGGAAAAGGGATGCCGTCCCCCTGAACCTCGGTTGTCTCACCTGTTACGCAGGGTGCATGACATGCCTACTTTCCAGGGTCGCTTCAGTGGGATGGTGTATACAAAGCCCCAGCACGGGGCCCAGCCTCCAGGAAGCACGGACTTATAAGCATGACAAGGCCTCTCTGTGAGAGGGGGGAGGAGGGGGTTGCTGCCATCCACGCTGGGCGCCCCTCGCCAGCGGCCCACCAAGCCTGAGGGCCACCCCAGCTCTCCCCTGCACACAAAGTAAAAATAAGTCTAGGCGATTTCTTGACTAGGCATATTTTTTAAATATGCAGGCTCAGTTCACTAAAAATTATATTCTTTGCAATGCCTTCCCGAGGCCCCTGCAGGCCCCCCACGCACCAGCTGTGTCGGCTGCGGGGGCAGGGAAGGGCTGTGAGAGGGACAGGTTAGCAAAGTGAGGCAGAGGAGGTGGGATAGGCTCCTGGAGGTAGGGGCTGCGCCCTTCCTGGAAGCCAGCTGTCACCTGACTGCCACACCCGGCTCTCCCAGCTCTTCCCCCGGGGCCAGAGACTCGATTGTATGCTTGGCACTGCCACATGGCGTCCCCCTGGGGCCGATGAAGCCACTGAGGCTCAGAGCAGTGACGTCCATGGTGGGAAGTGGATGGGGTCTTTGTGCCCTGGCCCAGGCTGCAGGAGGGCTCTGGGCAAGGGGCTGGAGTTGCCGAGGCCTGGAAGGGAGACAGCGGGGATGGCGCTGTCGCGACTCACAGAGACCCACGCAGTCCCCGCCGCCGGGCCTCCCTGCGCCCCCTCAGTCCCCCGGCCCCAATCTGTGCCGCAGCCAGAGCCACCCCCCTGAACCCTGAGGCGGTCCTGCCCGCCTGGCTCCAGTGCTCCGCGGCCCCCACCTTTCGGAGAAGAGTCGGAGTTTCCCAGAGCCTGTGCACCCGCCACGTGCCCTGACCCCACCCCCTCCTGGCCCCCTCCCCATTCCGGGCTGAATTCATTCCAGACGCACCCCAGGGTCCCTTCTCCCAGACACGCCCCTGCCCGGCGCCTTCAAGTCTCCTCTGCCCGGAATGTTGTCGAGGTTCGCTCTGGTCTTGGCTCAAATGTCACCGCCTCAGAGCAGTGCCCCCACCACCCTCCTCCTGGCACCCACGTCCTTGTCCTTTGCGCTCACCGCCTCCCAGCTTTCCATCTGCAACCTATTGTTCATCTCCTGTCTTTCCCGTAGAGGGCAAGCTCCGTGAGGGGAGGACTTTGTTACAGCCACTGCTGCAGCCTCAGGCCTTGAACAGGGCTTGGCATTTACCGAATCAATTAATGAGAACACACCGACATAAGGGGGAAAATGATGGATAGATGAATGGATGGGAGAAAGAAAGGGGGGGAGGGAGGAGGAATTAATGGGTGAAAGAAGGATGGATGGAAGAGAGCTGGCAGGGGCGGGTCAACGGAAGAATGTACGGAAGGATGGAGAGGAACAAGCGTGGGTGGCCGGAATGATGAATGGATCAATGGGAAGAAAATAAGGAAGGATGGAAGGAAGAAAGCAAGACTGGCTGGCTGGATGGATAGATGACAGACTGACAGATGGAGACGCAGACAGGCAGGCAGACACAGGAGCTGTACCTGCGGTTCCGCCCGAAGGACTAGGGCCCAGGGTGTGAGCACAGCTCACAGCCCCGCTTGGCGTCTCAGAGCGCCCAAGCCCCAACCTCCCTCGGGCTGCCCCTCCTGCAGGCCTGGCCTGCTCAGGAAGTGACCACAGAGGAACACGGCAGGTGGGGTCCGGCCCCAGGCTTCATTGAGCAGGTTCTGGGGAAGGGAGGACAGACAGGCCTCGCCCCAACCCTGAGGCCTCCTCTTCTTGCCTTTGCTGTCCCGCAGGGTGAGCCCAGGCCGCTGGGCCCTTCCGCCGCTGAGGGAGCGGCTCCGCGGGTGCCCCTTCCGGTCGCGGATGCAGCGCACAGACTGCAGCTGCAGCTGGCTGGCGTCCCACTCCTTCCAATGGCGGTACTCAGCCTGCTCGAACATGTACTGGCGCCCATGGTAGCTGGCAACTCATAGCCAACCCACCTGCTGGGAGACCCGGGCTGGGGTGAGCTCTCCGCCTCCAGCCTCCCCGGCAGCCCGCCTGGCCTTCAGAGCCAGCATCTGACCACGCTCCCACCTGCGCGAATCCCTCCTTGGCTCCCAGGGCCCCTGGGGTGAATGCAAACTCCTTCCCCTGCTCCCTGGATCCTTCCCGCACATCTCTGGCCTCCTCTCTCTACATTCCTTCTTCAAGCCCCCTGCTCCAGCCTCTCTGTTCTACTCCCCTTGGACTTGCGTGCCTCTGAGCCTTTACACATGCTGTTCCTTCTGCCGCACACACTCTTCCTTGCCTCATCCTTACCCCTTTCCTGCTTTCAGTTGTTGTCTTTACACCTCAATTCGGATGTCGCCTCCTGCAGAAAGCCCTTCCTGATTCCCTCATGAATCAGGTGCCCGTGGGGACTCCCAGAGCCCCTCTGCCTGTCCCATCACCACCCTGAACACCGAGTCCCCTATCAGACTGTGAAATGCCCCAGGGCAGAGGCTGTGCCCTTCTGGTCGCCCCCATACTCCGCACATGGTAGACGCTCAGTAAACAGTGCTGAATAAATTATTATCAGGGAGAGGGGGCACCTTTCAAGTCCCACGCCCCCAGACCACAAGCCCACAGGTGAGCTGTAGTCACCGACACTGGGAAGGTGGTCCTGAGATTTCGTTAACAGAGATGGGGGCCTCAAAGGAGGGAGGCGATGGGCCTGCTGCCCGAGTATTCCTCAGGCCACACCTAGAGAATCACGGTGTCACCCCTTCCCCTGTCAGGAAGGACAAGGATTGTGTAGAGGAAAAAAAAATCTGAGCACCCGTTCAAGGGCCTGGGGGTGTTCAGAAAAGCAGTGAAGGTGTCGACGGGGACAGGCAGGGGAAGCAGACTTCACTTGATTTTTTAAAAAGATAAAACTTTCTATAAGATAAGGCTTCCTGGAAACCCGGCGGCACAAGAGAGCAAGCGATTGGACGTGCGCAGGGTGAAGGCTCTCGAGCGGGGCCCTGGGCAAGGATGGATGCAGCGGACTGGAACGCAGGGTCTCCCGGCCGGAGGCGCGGGAGACGTCGGGTGCCCAGGAAACAGTGAGCAGACATCCTGTCTGGAGCTGGGGTGTGAGTGAACGGAGGATGAGTCGGGCAGGGCAGGAGTGGGGTAGGGTCCCTATGTCCCGTTGATGGCCCGGACGCTGGCCACCTGGTCCTGGAAACCGTGAGCCCAGAGGCTGGGCACGTCATCGTCCACTGTCTCCATCTTGCGGCCACCAAAAGCTGGGTTCTCAAACAGATGAAGCTTGTGATCCGGACCATCCTCTGGGGGCGAGATCGTTCTGCGAACCGGTGGCTCCCACGCCCAGAGCAGGGGCCAGGCAGGCTCTGGGCTCAGGGGGGGATCAGGTCACCACGAAATAATGCCCACCCCAAGCCTCCTGCCTGAGGGAGGGGGTGCTGGGGTTCCTTCACCCCTAAACCCGCTGCACGAGGGATGGGGGCTGAGAGGGCTCTCCAGAGCTTGCCTCCTTGGAAACCTTACAGCCAGAGATCCATGACACCAAGAAGGGCCCCTTCAGGTCCCATTCAGCCCCAGCAGTTAGCAGAGAGGGAAACTGAGGCACAGAGAGGATAGAAGAAGATCAAAATTACTAATGTGGGATCATTCCTTCCGTACTGATCAGACTCGGATTTGGTCTCGCCAGCCTTCCCCGCCCGTGACTGAGGCAAGGAGCAGGGGCGGCAGCAGCTGCAAGTGTGAGGGAAGTAGGTGGGGGAGAAGAGCGACATTTTAAAGCGTCACACGGACTGAGTCCCTTTCAGGTGTTTGAAAAATGCAAGCAAAGAGCCTGAGCTGTTTTGCAGTTACGTTTTGAAGCCATTTTCCAGACTGTATTTCTTTGACCACGCAGCACGGATGTGAGATGAGAAGGGGATGGCTCGGGATTTTAATAGGATTACAGCGGCGAGGGCCAGCACCCTGCTTGCTCGTTCACGACGTGACTCCTGGTGTCCCGATCCCCAGCCCGGGGACCTCCAATGAGCCAACACTGTCATTTGGTTCAGAAGTGATGAGGGTCCTTCCCAGACCAGGACCACACAGGCCAAGGCTTCGGCAGGCATGTCCCGCCCCTCAGAGCTCCCACAAGGGGACAGCAGCGGTACTCACAATGCGCAGAGGCCGGAGGGAGAGGAGGCTGTCGCTGTGGTGGCTGTTGGACCAGGCGCCCCAGCGAGGGTAATCCCCCGTCTCCAGGACATACTGCTCCCTACAGAAGGCCCTGTGCTTGAACGCCAGCCACCTGCAGGCAAAGAGAGGCCCCGCTCACCTCTGCTGCAGGTGAGCGCACAGCCCACAGCTGCTGGCCTTTGACCTCGCGCCTTCCTGCCAATCCTGCCCCTGATCCTGTTACTGAAGGATCTACTGGGACATACTGGGAGCTGAGCCTCTGAGCGAGAAAACCATCCCAGGAAACAATACTGAGAATCTGTTTTACGTGCAGCCTCTGCATAGGGTGCTCTGAAAAGTCCTTCGCACACTGCCTGGCACAGAGTATTCCATAGATGGCTCCTAATTACTATTGTATTGTTACTATTTATGGGCGTCAATGCATTCATTTCACATGAACTCTCTCTGAAGTGTGACCCTCTATTATATTATCCCCATTTGACAGAGGAGAAAACAGGCCCGGGGGGTGAGTACCGCGCCCAAGGTCACGTAGGGGGTTGGTGCCAGAGCCTGGACTTCCAATCCAAGGCAAGAGCTGAGTCTGGGTGGGACACCTGTGTGCCGTGTGGACATGGGCCTGACATTTAACTGCTCTGGCCTCAGTTTCTGCACCTGTTCAATGGGGACGAGAAGGGCAGCTTTCTCCCAGGCAGTTGTGAGGATTCGGTGATATAATGCACACTACATTTTAGATGGTATACTTATTATTGAAATTACACTGATTGAACCCCACTGGTCAGGCACTGACCTAGGGGCTGGGCTGTCTTCCTCTGTTCTCTTTTTGCTGCACCCTGCTGTTCACTGCGGAGACGGAGAGCTGGACGACTCTAACAGAATCCAGGTCAACTCGCTCATTTTACAGATGGGAAAACCGAGGCCCCACAGCAGCTCTTGAGCTCAAACACAGGCCTCCCGACTCCCAGGAGGCTCGGGCTCTGACCAGGGGTCAGGGGTCCAGGTACTCATGGCCCCACCTCCACTTGGATGGAGCCCACCTTCTCCAGCAGGCTGTCGGTGGGGTTGGGGCACTCGGCCGAGAGCTCGCACCGCTTGCCCTGGAAATTGTCCGTTTCATTCGCGGTCACCTGGAAGGGCAGCGTCCTGAGCGTCACAGCGGGGTTCCCAGCTCCCGCGCTGAGCGGTTCCCGGTAGGGCAATGGAGGGAGGTACAATCGTCAGCTCCAACAGCTCGGTCTCGTTATACCAGTCTGGAGACATGGCCGCCGCAGGCTTGCACTGCCCCCTGGTGGCCATGGAGGGGACTGCCTCCAGGAACCCTTACTAAACCCGGGGTTCCCATATGGTCAGGAGCCAATCGGGAACCTAATAGAGTGAAATGACCCCAGGAAGGGGCAGTACGGAAATGAAGCCACTTGCAACCAGGAGGGAATGTGGACCGTATTCTAAATTTTGCAACCGAGGCCAGAAATCTATATTTTCCTTAATGTGAAATATCCCCATTTAAAAAAGTCCGTGCAGGACTGCCAAATCCCGTTTGCAACCTCTGGGCTGGGCTCCACCTGCCCCAGGCCCAGAGGGGGGGAGCTGCAAAGGCAAAGCAAGGGGTTGCCTGGCCCCCACCTAGAAACACAGACTGTCTCTGGACAAGGTCCTTGGGGAACGTCTGTTCCGAAAGGGTAAGCCGCTCGTTCCAGGCTGCACAGCACATAAAGCAGAAGCACCGGGATGTTAGGTCAGCCCGCTCTCCTCTCCCTGCACCCGTGTGGACAGGCAAGGCCCGCAGATGCCAGAAGGAGGCGGGAAGGCCCCACAGTGGCGCCCGCCTTCCTGCAGGGCAGCTGCCTCTGTGGGTTTGCCAAGGCCCTCAGGGGTCACTCGATAACACGGGGCTCCCCGCAGCAGGAAGCGGAGGGTCGGCTGGGCAAGGCTAGCTGATGTCACCCATGGGTCGGGCCCAGGGCCACGCAGGCCTCTCTGTGGCTCTTCTCCTGCGCATCTCCCCACTCCGGTTCGAGCCACCAGCACGTCCTCAGAAATGCCCCTGCCCCCAGCCATCTCCATAACCAACCCGTCCTGGGCAGTCTGGAGTTAGGGCCCCCAGCGGTAGCTTCTAGAGGGCATGGCCAACAGCTTCCAGCTCCATTAGCTGGCGTTGGCAATGGCACTTGCATTCAGCTCTCACGTCAGCTCGGGGCGCGATGGAGTGTGGGCATTGACTCCATGTTAAAGAAGGGGCTGTGGAGGCCCAGAGAGGGCTGGGGATCAGACCGGGGTGCGCAGGGAGTCCGTGCCGGGACTCCTGAAGCCCCCAGCCTCGATGCCCAGGGAGGGTGTGTGTAACCGGGTGTGTCTTGCAGGCAAGGGCACAGGACAGGGACGATGCAGCGAAGCCATGAAACAAGTCACGGCGGAGGGGCAGGTGTCCTCCTGGCCCTGCTGGCTCCCTTCTACAGAGAAGCTGACCCTGAGGCCGATAGTAGCCCTGGGCCCAGAGCCCTCAGCCCCTCCTCACCTTGTAGCTGCCCCCAAGGCCTCCATGGCTCTTGCCAGCGGCAGCCAGCTCCAGCGCTCCGTGCTGCTCTGCCCTCTCCCCAGGAGCCCCTCTGGCTTCAACCAAAGGAAAATGGTCACCAGGTCCATTTGAGGATGAGCTGAAGAACTTTGCTGCCTACGGGACGTGGTCATCGCTCACGGCCTATGTTCGGTCTTTCAGTCATTCAACAAACATCCACTGAGCACCGGCCATGAGTCCATCACAGGTCAGAGGGATCAGGATCCCCTTTTTTGCAGAGAGGAACACTAACGCCCAGCTAGGTGAGGCCACTTCCCCGAGGCCAGAATCAGGCCTGGCTCCAAAGCGCATGCCCTTTGCCCTCACTCAACTGCTCCCCCAAACCAGGGCCCTTGGAGTTCTGTGTGGACATGGCCTCCGGACCTGGTCCGAGGGCAGGCTTCAGGGCCTTCCCTCTGCAGGACTCTCTCCCCCACCCCTGCACCCCAGGCTGCAGTCCTCTGTTCACTTATTACTCCGTTCCCCAGCTTCCATGAGCACCTCCTCAGGGCCTGGCTCTGGGTTGGGTGAAAGGGGTGAGCAGGAGACCACAGGCTGGCGGGGGATGGACAGACAGACAGACGTGCAGAGAAAGTGTGATGCGGGACCAGGTCCTGGGACACCAGCCCCCGCCCAGTTTCCGTTCATTTGGTTACTCATTCCTCACGCACGGATGGAGCACTTCCTGAGCATCAGCCACTTAAAGGAACACAGACACAGCTCCCTTCACCCTGACGGGGTCCGTGACACATACCTGAGGCTGGCAGCGGTCACTCAGACAGGTTCTCCTGATTGTTGCGCACACACAGACACGTGGGGCTGTGCTCCGGTTTATCAGCACAGGCCCCCGCAGGCACACGCAGACTCACGCAAATGCCATGGTCATTGTGCAGTCACATCTCACCCCCCACACGAAGAAGGCCTGTGTCTGTCTGTCCCTCTGTCACACACACACCCATCTCAGGCATCCAGTGCTTCACCAGCACCCACATCTACACCACACACGCCCTGCCGCCTGCCCGCCCACGCACAGCTCCCACACTCCCACCCCTGGCAGACACAGCTGAGTGACCCATATACTCGGGACATAGCCTGCTGGCTGGCTGTCCGGCCTGTGCCCAGTCTCGGCAGGAACTAGGGCCTGGTCTCGCTCAGGGAAGACTCTCAGAAGACATGGCAGCCCCCAAACGTGCCTACCCCACCTCCTCATCTTTGCAGGCTCCCCGCCCTAAGCACACGCCCGGGGGCTCAACCCTGGCCACTGCTCTCTGACAGTGGCTGGGCTTGGTGGCTGTCTCAGGTCCCCCCTCTCGGCTCCAGCCAGGTGGATGGACCCCTAGTTCGGGCAGGGGCCAGCTCTGCGTGCCCAGGAGACCACCCTGGCTCGGGCCTGCAAGGGCAGCTCTTGCCTCTCTGCCCCCCACTGCTTACTCCGGAATGAACCTGCTGCTGGCGCCCCAGGAAGAACAGAGAAGCCAGCGCCACCTACAGACAATCTCCCTTTGCAAGGAGCGTCCTGTTCATGGGCGATTTCCGACAGCCCAGCACGACCCGGCCTGCTGAGCCAGCGGCCTGTCTACCGGATTCTGTTTGGGCTATTTCATTCCAATGACGGGCCCAGGGAGGCCCCAGGGCCTGTGTGTCCTCAGCCATGGCCTCTGATGACTTCCCGGGGGGACGACATTCTCCAGGGGCCACCCCTACTCCCTTTCTTTGGCTTCTCAGTGTCACCATCTTCTTACTGAGATACCTGACAGCCTTGGACAGGCTCCAGTTCTCCAAGTGAGGGACTCCAAATCCCTCAATTCTTCCACGTGCCCCGTGGCCTGAATTTTAAGTCAAGTCGCCCTAAACAGAACTTCCAGTTGGGTCTCACTCCACCCCACCATTTCCGTGGGATGCTGTAGCAGACCCACCTAAGACTGTTTTTATTCCTATAAAAGACATACACGAATAACCGCTACCATCTATTGAAGACCTACTGTGTGTGAGTCCCTGTGCACGCTCCATAGCATCATGTGTACCCCTCACTCAGCCCTGTTTAGGGGAGGAATGATGGTCCTACTTCACGGATGGTTCGAAAATTGCATTCCGAGAGGCGAAGTCACTTACCCAGGTGCACGGCTGAGAGGAGGAGGAGGGCCCGGCCTCTCCAGGTGACTACGGCAGTCGCCTTATTTATGACCAAAGAAGTAGATCCATGCATTTTAAGTGTCTAACAGTGTCAGTTGGCCTATGATAGGCATTTAATGATTAATGAATGAATAAAATTGAGGGACAAGGGAGTGAATTGTTAAGCAACACGGTTTTCTTTTGTTGCTATTTTTGGCGAACATCCGCAAGTCAACATAAAACCTGGTTACCCCGCACCCCTGAGATGCTGATAGGACACTTGGTGAGGGACCTGTGTCACCTTGGGTGAGTCACTGAAAGTCTCGGAGCCACAGACACATCTCCAGGAAAAGGAGGATCCTCTCTTTGCTCGGGTCACTGACGCATCACGAAAGCAAAGCGCTCAGCATAGCCGATCACTTTCTTATATTTATTCACAGAGGATTCTGCCAATTATGGACAGTTCAACCCAGGGAGGGGGGTGCTTCCCAGTGGGGATTATGGAAGGCAGAGTTGGTTTCAACCCCTTAACTTGGGAGGCGGTCATCACCTGCTGTGGATAGATGGGGAAAGGCAGAGGTGAGGCCAGCCTACATGAGAACATGATTCCCTCCCATCAGATCCTCTAGGATCCTACTTTGCACCCAGTATTTCATGTGCCGCATTTCCTTAACCCAGAGCTCCCAGGCTCGGCAGTATTGCCACCTGGGGCCGGCTCATCCTCTGTACTGTAGGATGCTGAACAACATTCCTGGCCTCCACCCACTAGATGCTGGTAGCAGCTTCCTTCTCCCCTTGTGACAACCAAAAATGTCATTGCCAGAGGTCGTCTGGAGGACACCATCCACGCATGAGAACCACTGCCTTAAACTCTTGCCCACCGATGTCACTTGCCCGCCGATGTCACTTGCCCACCCCCATTTTACAGAACCAACGCTCCGAGAGGCCCCGCAGCCAGGATGTGGCCGAATGAGGGCTTGCCCCATTGAATGGAAAGCCTGCTTTGTGCCTGTGGTCCTCTCTGTCTGGCGCCCAGCTCAGCACAGACAAGAGGCTGGCTCAGCCGGTGACGGCCGGCACGCACGGGACAGCCTATTCATGTGCACACTGACACACCAACTTCTCCAATGCAACTTGCGTCAACGCTTTATTTGCTATTTCCATAGTCTGAATGCAACATCTCTGTACATGCAAAGGTCATCTGGTTTCACGGCAGTTGACCAGATCCCCAACTGTTCTTGATGTGCGTATGAAACCTCTTTGCAGTTACAAAATATAAAAGCACTTGTCGACGTCCAATACTCTGTGAGGTCCAGGGAGCCCCGTTGTTTTAATGTTAAAAATATAGGCTTTTTTCTGGATGAAGTCTCAGTCACGCGATTAGAGGTTCTTTCTGGGGTTGGATAAAGTGCCTCTGGTCCGCCCTCTGCGCAGAACTGCCAGGGCTCATGAGTTCTAAGGCAAATGCAAGGATTCCCTCAGGCAGGAGGCCGACCTTCCTACACGCAGGCCGCTGGCTCCTTCGCTGTCAGGACTCAGCTACCCGACGAAGGGACCCAGAAGAAAGGCTAGGAAAATATATAGTATACACAGATACATTTCCACTCCCCGCATCTTACAAAGCATTCTGAGGATCAAAATCACGGGGGAAGTGCATGACTTCTAGAACATTGGTATGATTGAGGAAATGGCAGAGTACAAAATATCTTCCATGACACAATATATGACTTTTGCGAGCCCCCTATTTACAGGATCTGTAAGGCCATGTGGAATGAGATCATTAGAAAGCTCGGGTTCTTTGTTGACAATGGCGTAAGATTTTTGAGTGGGCGTGGCGCCACCAGAGATTGTCAGAAAAGTGCCTGCCTGATTCGCGGAAGATGTCATGGCGCCAGCTACGAGGGTAGCTATTTAAGGAGGTTCTGGGAAAGTGGGGGCGGGCTCAGAGGACACCTTGCTGGAAACCTCAGGCTGACTTTCCAGGGCCTGGCTTTCTGCCCAGCTCCCTGCAGGGACCAACCCAGGCAAAAGAAAGACATCTGGAGAGGGGTGGAGTGGGCAAAGGGAGCCGCAGACAGACCGGCCAAGAGTGAGCACACTCTCTCTCCAACTGGCTCTCTACGGGGCTCCATCCCTGGACCCTCGCAGGCCAGGAATTCCCACAAGGAGATTCCTAGCAGCTTCTCGGCACAGAGCCCCCTATGGGGGCGGAGCCCCCTCCAGGAGTCCAGCGGGTCCTGCCCGCTTCACATGGCTCCCTCTACCCAACGGCTGTCCCTCCAACCCGATGGCATCACGATGCCCCGCGGTGCTTGCTTTCTCATTTTAACACGTGGTGGAGGAGGAAAGGCACAATCGGAGGGATGGCGAGTTCTCCGTCACTGAAGTGACTTGCCAGGGCTTCACTGGGGTGGGCAGCAGTATCCCCCGACCAGGAGAGAGCTTTTCTCCTGCCTCCCCACCTCCCCTCGGGCTCACCCCGAAATGCGAATTCGTACAACGGCAACAGTCGTCTAGCTGCCTGTTTTAAGGAACAGGGCTTTGCGGGCCGGCCGCAGGGACAGAGGGGTAGAGGCAGAAACTGGCGAGGGAGGGGCAGGCTTGAGAGCCCTCTACTTGGGTGGACTGTCTTCCACGCAGGCCCGAGTCACCTTGAAGGAGGCGGTTAGTGCAGGTGATCTGAGCGCACGTCTGTGGACTTGGAGCTTTGCGATGATGCCCAGCTCCTGGGGCAGCCTGGGGCTCCGTGACAGAAAGCAGGAGAGCACATGTGGGCAGGGTGGCTATCAGCACCGGGGGAGGGGGGTGGCTGGGGCCTCCTTTAAGAAATCACACCCCGGGGTTTTCTGAATCCCCTGCACAGTCTCTAAGGTTTAGGGTCTCAGGCTTACGCCTATTTCTAGTCTCACTCCTTAGTGATACCTGGAGCTGACCTCACTTCCTGGGATGCACAAAAGAAAATACATTTGTCCAAAAGCACATGACTTGGCCTGTCCCCCTGGGAAACATCCCCATCTGATTGTCTTTTCCCCAAATCCTAGACAACCTGAGCCTGGCAGATCACCATCCCAAATACCGAGAGGCTTCTCCTGTACTGGAAGTTCTCCAATGGCACTGAGCAATTCTCTGCAACGTGCTTTCTGAGGCCTTGCCAGGGGATTTCACAGGCCAAAGGCCTCTGTTTCCTTAGGCAAGAGACCCTGAAGAAGGGGATCTACTGGAGGGAAAAAGATACAAACTTATCAAAAGATCATCCATCAAAATGCTGATGGGCAAAGGGTGTGTGTGAGTGGACAGAGGGAGGGCGGGGAGAGAGGCAGACTGAGCGGGGTGGGGCGGGGATGACACACCCACAGCACGCGCTTCCTGTGCAAGACTCCCACCCAAGGAGAGCCAACGGCCCAGAGGAGGAAGGTCAGAGGAGGGCAGGTGAGTGGATTGCACACAGGTGATTAAGGCATATTAAGTTCATTTAAAAGGAGACAGATTTCCAAAGGTGGCTCTAGGCGAACTCCAGAAACTAGCATACAAACCCTTGCTTTGCCCCAAAGAGCACACCCAGTTTAGGAAGAGGAGAAACACACGCCTCCCGGCCCAGCTCTGAGCACCTGTCCCTCCTGACCTCCCTGCACTGGGCTAGCAGGGAACCTGCGTGAGGAGGGTCGCTCCTGACTTGCTGCGGTCATCTGCCCTGCAGGGGAGGGTGCGGCTGCAGGAAGAGAAAGAGATTGAGGAGGATGTTCAGGACTTGCTCTAGTCAGTTTAAAGGGGTGGACTTTGCATGTCTTAATCACCAAGGAATTACCTGGCTCTTAATTTCCAATCAAGGGGTGTGGGTGGTGGCGGGGCGCGGCGGGGAGGTTGGGCAAAAGATCTCCAGGTCAGTCTCATTGCCAAGCGCTTTTCTTTCCTGCCAGGTATAGCTGGGCTAAAACATGACGAATTCAGAACAGAGAGTCGTGCGTGGTGAGCACCGATATACTCACTGAAGAGGACAGGTCATTTCCTATTGTAGCCTAAGAAGGTACGGAAGGGCCCTTCCCACCTCCGGGAAGACAAAGAGAGAAGCAGCCAAGAACGGAAGTCAGGACACTAGCAGTGTCCTATAGGGGACCTACGGACCTGGAAAGCTACCGCATCAACACTGTTACAAAACAAGAAATGGGCCTCAAACAACAAGTCAACTGAAGCAGTTCCTGGGGGAAATCAACCCCCAAAGGGCCAGGGAGGGTTGATCAGCCACTTACTTAGGGAATGAAGAGAACACAACTATTACCGGACGAGGCCCAACCTCCAGACACGGATGTGGATCCGGGAGGCTTCCAGACGCACCAGGCTGGCAGGCGACAGGGCCCAACGACCGCCCATCAGCAGGCAGCCAAAGCGCGGCCAAGGGGACGGGGCGGGGGAGGGCGGCCCGTCCCTGTCCGTGGTGCTGAAACGCAGCGGCGCTCCGGGCACAGGCGTTTGTCTCCACCGGGAGAAAGGAGACTGCTCTCCACCCCACCCCCTCCCCCAAGAGAGGAAAGCGTCAATGAAGGCGGATGATGGGAAAAGAATGATGGGCAGATGAACAGGGATTCTTGGAGAGGTGGCCGGGGAGAAGGGAGGCTTTGACACCATTTGCAAATAATGGATTTATGAAGAAAGATTTCCACCTTTTGGGAAGTTGCAGGGGGTGGGGCACACACGTGTCCCCCACTTCCATGTCGAGTCAGTGCTGTGCGTGGACCCATTCGCAAACTGAGCCCCTGGGCCCCTCGGCCATCACAGGTGGCCCCACAAACTGCCTGAGCATCTTTCTCACCAAGGGGCGTCTCCCAGGTAAGGTTGGCACTAAGTTTATGGCAACCCCAGGTGTGGCAGGTGGCCAGCCAGGCATTTCTGGGACGTTTGCTGGGGCTTTGGGCTTCATAGGGGGAGGGGGCTGGTGCTGAGGGTTTCCAAAGAGGATAGAGTAGAGCTAGCAAGACGGGGGAAAAAAGCCAAAGAAAACCTTACACATCGTCACCTAGGATCTAGCGCTGCTGTCCAGAGTCCCTCCGGCCTGGGGCGGTGCAGGGCGGGGGCACTCCCCTCCAGAGAAGGGCTTTCAGCAAGGCCCTGCCTTCCTGCATTTGAACCTCAAAAGAGCCCTTGGTCTGGGGGAGCTCAGCCTGAGGGTTGGTGGGAGAAAGAGGTGAGAAGAACCAGAGGAACCCCTCACTTGTGCATGTGTTCTGAGGCCAGTGTGGGAAGGCGCTTCCGGGCCGCGGCTCAGGCGGGGCTCACACACAGCTCTGGAGAGAGACGCTCAGGGCCGGTCTGGTGCTCGAGTGGGAAAGGCACTGCCCTTCGGGCTGCAGTTTACAAGCCCGTGAGGCCGAGGGACAAAGGTCACTCCACAGAAATCAGAGCTCAGAAAGAAGAGAAACCAGGAACACATATACCAGCGTGACCACTGGAATTTTTAAAACGCCTGGATTGGGGTCAGATAACCTGAGATGATCACATACTTCAAGCAAAGCGGTCACACCTCTTTCCCTCCCATTCTTTAACATGAAAACATATATACATAGCAAATTTCAAGGGGGAATTGGCTGATTATTGCTTTGTCACCTTCTAAAGCAAACAAAAATGACACACGACACAAGAGGTCCACTATGCAGGTAGCCCCACTGGAAGGCTAACGATAAGGATGGGTATGTTTAAAAAATCAGAGCTCCTGATCCTTCGAGAGGGAGACAGAACTGGCCGAAGGAGTAATCAGAACCTCCCGCCCTGTGGAACTGCCTTGGACACAGTTAGAGCAGGAAACCGAAGTCCTCTTGAGCAAGACCTGCCCTGGGGTTGGGGGAAGAGGTGCTTCCACCATTCAGGTGTTTTCCAGAGCCTTGGGAGACGGTCCAGCCGGACATCCACGTACGCGGGGCTGCTGCTGAAGTAGGCAGAAATGTACATTTTTTAACATAAACTCTCCCAACCGCCAGTGTGGACACTTCTGGGCAGCCTGGCTTCTTTCCCAGCCTGAAGCGCTGTCAGGGGAGGCGGGCGAGCGCTGGAGGCGGATGAGCCTTTCCGCCCCGTCCGACCCGATCCAATCCGACCCGATCCGGAAGCGCCTGCGGAGCGCCGGGGGCCCTGGACAGCATTCTGCACCGGCTGGAGGGGCGGCCCGGGCAGGGAACCATTGTGCAGGCGGAACGGCAGCAGCGTGGCCTCATCTTGGGGGCTGTGACAGTTAAGGCTTCTGTTCATTAGACGTGGCAGTGACCCCGTCTGGAGAGGAAGGGAGAGTCCTGTCAGTAGGGGGGCAGTTTTTTTCTGGTATTCCCCAAGATGGCCACCTCACAAGCCTCAGGCCGGGAAAGACGACATGGGTTTTTTGTTTGCTTGCTTGTTTCCTGAGGGGTGGGACAAGGAAGGTGGCGGGTGGCTGGACGCCGTGGAATCAATGTGAAACAGAGACAGGTCAGGGTTCGAGCCTCAGCGTCCTCAAATGGGCTGCTTGGAGGCTTCGCTGAGATGTCACATGCGCAGCCCTAAACCCAAGATAAACACGGGCTCCGAGCCTGTACCCAAAGCCGTTCAGCAGATGTTTACTGCAGAATTTAGAAATTTTTTGGAGTTCTGATATACAAGTATATATGCATCTATGCATATATACATTTATGTAAATATTGTATAACATATGCAACACCCCCATAATGAAGCACAGATATGCCTGCAGTGTAACATATACATATTCCTACCAAGTGGGGAAAACAGTCTAAAGAGCATTAAAATCCATGCAGGCCAGGTTTTGTCACTATACGAGAGGTGACAGCGCCCTGCTGTCTGTCCGGATTCCAGGTTTGTGGACAAGGGGCGGTGGGGGCCTCCCGTGCTGCTTGCATCAGAGCTGATGCTTACGGGGTGTGGACTGGGCGCTCCCCTCCCCGGGGCTTAGAGGAAGCACCCAAGGTGCCGCTGCAGCGAGCCCTCAGGACAGGCTGGCCCCATGGGTGCCACTGCCCCATTTCACAGATGGGGAAACTGAGGTCCAAGATGTTCGGTGGTTTGGGCCCTACACCAGGGCATATCTAATCATTTGCTTTTTAAATCTTTTTTTTCAAATTATTTTTTAATTATGCAGATGATATATAAGTGTAGAAATTGGGCAACTTTCCAATTAAGCTGATCTTTGATACGCTGTCCTCTCACTTTACAAAAGGGGACTGAGACGCAGCGAGAAGGGCCAGCCAGGGCCCCGGTTGCCTGACCCCTCGCCCCACCACCCAGGTGGCCTGGCTGCGTTTTATCCCTAAGAGGGAACAGATCATTGCCACACTCTTTCCAGGAAGTAAGAATACCCACACCCACGGTTTTCCTCCTCCGATCTAGGGTATGACATATGACACATGACACCCCTGGCCCTCTCGCCCGCCTTCCCTGCTCCTGGCATTGCAGGCTCCGCCCGGTGACCCACTGGGGGCCCCTTCGTACCTGGTCAAGCCTGATTCTCATACAGGCTTTGCCTCTTCTTAGATTTCAGCTCCTTTAGCCACTGGGGCGACGGCTCTTCAGATCTGAAACCACATAGCCAGTGAGGAGCAAGTGTGAGCGAGGCCGAGGGCACCTTGCAGGCAGGGCCGTGAGGTACCCAGCTCCCCACCTGCCGAGCCAAGGGGGGTGCTGAGCAGGGCGCTCACAGATGACAGACATGCTTGTGCCGGCGTGGTTGACAGGCGGGAAACCGCAATCAGTCAAAGCAGCCAACAATGGGAATGTTAAAAAAATCATGGCATGTCTACTCTTTGAAACAATCTGCAGCTATAAGTCGTGCCCATATAAAATTATTTCTACCCATCCAACCATCTGCCACCCAAACGCCCATTCAGTTCTCCATCTGCCCACCACGTGAAGGCCTGCGATGGTTGGTTTTCTATGTCAGCTTGGCTGGGCTGCGGTGTCCAGGTACATGGTCTAACATTACTCTAGGTGTTTCTGAGGAGCTCTGGTCTTTTTAGATGAGATTAGCATTTAAATAAGGAGACTGTGAGTCAAGCAGATGACCCTCCATAGCACGGTGGGTCTTATCCAATCAGTTGAAACCATGACAGAAAAAGACCAAGTTCCCTTAAAAGAGGGAATTCGGCCAACAGACCGACTTGGAGACTCAAGCTGTGACCTCAGATCTTTCTGGGTCTGCAGCCTGCGGCCTGCTCTGCACATCTTGGACTTGCCAGCCTCCAAAATCACAAGGGACAATTCCTTAATATAAGTTTCTCTTTCTCTCCCTTTCCCCCTCTTCCCCAAGCCCTCTGTGTGCGGCTGGGTGTGTACACTCTCTCTGTTCTGCTTCTTTGGAGAGAACCCTGACTAATACAATGCCCCTAAGATATAATAATATACTGAAAAATAACAATGACTGTTCAGGGGAGGTAATATTTGTTACAATTTTTTTCAAAACTGAAGAGCCCGCAAGCATAAAAGCACTCAAACCGCACGTGTACAGTGCAGAGAATTTTCTCAAGGAGAAGGCACTGAGTGGCCCCCATCTAAATGGGGGTATTTTGAGGGCTTTATTTCCCTATTTCTTCATGCACTTTTCTGTGTTCTCAGAATCGCTTATGATAAGGACACACCATTTCACAAAGAGCAATAAAGTCATCGTTCTTAAACATCTTTTCAGAAAAAATTACACTCGTGAAGATTGTTTAATGGCCATGGGGAAATGGTTCCGTGAAACATGTAACCGGAAAAGAAGCTGCACACAAGTTAGAATCTCAAGTGCGTTAAAGAAACCGAACAACGAAAGGAGAGATGCCCATGTGTCGATAATGGGTGGTCTTTGGGGGAGGGTCAGTTCATGATTTTGGTCCCTGCTTCATATTCTTTCTCTATTTCCCGGAGTTTCTACTGTGAGCGAGCATTGCCTTTGCGATCAAACACAGGTGCGCCTAAGCCCTGACTTGGGCTGACCTCAGAGAAAGCGCCAGACCCCGGGGTCCTGGAGGGCTTGGGGCGGTTGCTGCCTGGCTCGGGGTGCAGTGGGGGTCTGCGAGGTTGAGGAACAAACAGCTGAAATGCCACTGCCATTCAGCTGTGTGACCCACCGGGCCAGCCCCCCCAGAAGTGCATCCTGAACCCCAGGGCGGAGGGACCCTCCACCCCAAGGCGCCTCACCTCTCGTCCTTCTCACCGCTGGTGGGCAGCACGCGACTGCCCAGCTGGAAGGGTGACTTAGGGGTCTTGGGCTGCGGGGCCCAGCCGGGGGACTCGCTGGGACTGTCCACCTCCGGCCTCTTCTGCAGCTGAGCCTGGGGAGGGAAGAGAGCGAGTCTGTAACCACCTGTGGTGTGGGGAAGGGTCCCATCCCACAGCACCGCCACTGCGTGGTGACAACGGGGCCTCCCCAGGCAGGAAACACCGGGGCGCGGGAGATGCCACCGGACCTGGGAGGGAAAGGAAAGTCAGAGGTCAGGCTTGCTGTCCTGGCAGCCAGCCGTGGCCACTGGGAAGCAAAGGGCCAGCCCCCAAAGGCCACAGAAACGGCCTGTGGCAGAAGGGCCACCATTTGTAATGTGCTCTGCCTGGACATTCCATCTCCTTTAGCTTCTGAGAACCCTGAGGCGGAGACACCAGCAGGCGAGGCCCACCTCTGTTCAGCCCCTTGCTCCTGCATCCACTGCAATAAGACGCAGTTTTTACGATGCGATTCCCACTGGAAAACGGCAGGGTGGGTTTTCACGCGTTTGTGGCGGGTGCGCTGGGAACAGAATGACCTAGAACGGCCTGCACAGAATCCCCGTGGGGAGCCACATGTGTGTGACGGTGGCGGGAGGCCTTAGTCCCCGACTCGGCAACGCGACGGCAGCCATCCCCTCCGCCCTCCTGGCAGCTCTGCGCACGCGGCACCCAGCGGTTGGACGCCACCAGGCATACGTTATATGACACAGGTTTCCCCATTTATGAGGGAGAAGCCTGAAGGCCAAAGGCCGAGCAGTTCGTCCCAAGTCTCCCAGTTTTCAAGAACTGGGAGAGCCCCCAGGTCTGCCCACCTCCAACTTCAGGACTCTTTCCAGAAGGAGCCAGGCAGTCTCCTCTGATCATTCACAAATGCTGAGCGGCGCCCTCGGCCGAGAGCGCCCAGGGCAGGCGGGGCTGCCCCCGCCCGGGAGCCTGCAGTAGCATGAATGGCAAGTGCCCCGTCCTCACAGAGTGCATGGCTCCACCTGCGTTCAGGGGCCTCAGGGGCATCGCCACGGGCCCCCGCCTGTCGGCAGGGCCTTTTGCTGCCTCCTGTGTTAGGCTGCCTTATAAGATGTCATTTGTTCTGATGCTTAAAACAAACAAACAAACAAAAAAGCCAGAAAGCTGCTGGCCGACCACAGTGGCTGCAAGGCATTCACGTTTTAAGGCCTGTAAAATCGATTACAGGGACAAGCGTGCCTATCTGCCATGTGCTGGCTTTCTGCTCTTGCAGGAAACGGCATGAAAAGCAGAACTCTTGCCCACTCAAGGAGCCGCGAACCCACGGCCCCGCCATGGAGGCTTTCTGGCCGGCATGGAGCAGGAGCTGAGAAGTCCCACAAACAACCCAGCCTCTTCACCTTCATTTCCTCTCCAATAAAACAGGAGGAAAGAGCTACCTTTTGCAGCATTGCTGGGGGCACGGGGTGGGTATGTGAGCGCATGGTGCCTGGTCTGGAACAGGGGCACGAGGGTCCCCTCCGTCACCCACATTGAGTACCACTGCTCCCAGGACCGTGAGAGATGATTGCAGGGCCTGGGGAGGGGAGGAGGGAGGCGGCCCAGCCCTGCCCTGGGGGCTCCACGATCCCGCTGGGGTTCCAGATTCGAGAAGGGCAGTGTGGTTCCAGGGCCGGCTCCCCATGTCCTTTTGAACGGAAATTAATCATTTCATGTGCCACCCCACGCTCCCCAGCAGACCAGATCCAAGGACACCAGGCTGCACGGACTCGCTCCCGCTTCCCTGGTGCCTGGCACTGGGCCCGACGCCTACGGGGTTACCAGCCACTTGGCGGATGAGCGCGCCGGAGCTTGGCTGGGGGACCTAACTGAGCTGCAGGTTTGGGGATGAAGAAACACAGGGTCACTGGTGAAAGGCTCAAAAGTCTGGTCCACAGCCCTGAGCCAAGGCCAGCGTCCTGGGTTTGATAACACACTGTGGTCGTGTGTGGGGCCGTCACTGGGAGAAGCTGGGCGAGGGGCACGTGGACGCGATCTGCACTAGATTCACAGCTTCTTGTGAGTCAAACTGTTTCAAACCCGAGGGTGGGAGGGAAGGCGGAAGGAAGGAGGGAGGAGGAAAAAAAGGAGGGAGAGTAAGAGTCAGGATCACGGGGCCTGTCCTTGGTGTCCTTTCTGCTGCCAGGGCGAGAGGCGCTCTGGGCGTGCGGTCGGTACCTTGAGCACTGCCGGGTCTACTCCGGGAAACACGGGCATCCTCTGGGGATGGCTGACGGGTGTCCTCTCGGTCCTGGGTGGCTTCTCCTCGTCATCTGACTCTTCTCTCCTGGGGGATTTCTCTTCTGTTGCAAAGAAAAGGGCACCGATGTCATTGGCAGCCACTGCGTATTGAGGCGTGGGCTCCAGATCCTTTGCACACAGACCCTCACGCGATCCTCACAACGGTCCTGACAGGAGGTATCACTGGCCCATTTTACGGGTGAGGACAGACTCAGGGGCCTGCTTTCATGGTCTTTCTTCTGCACAGCTCTTGCCGGAAGATACCAACAGCAAGGCAGAGCAGGATGGGTTTCCTGCTGGGACTGGGCACAGGCAGCCGGGGCTCCTGGCTCGCCCCAGGTCAGGGAAACAGAGGGACCTCTCTGGCAGAGGCAGGGAAGGAGACAGAAGTGCCTGCAGCGGCCAGCACACGGGGCCATGCTCTGGGAGGGGTGGGGAGGGGTCCTTCCGTCTGTGGAAGGGCTGCCCGGAGTCGGACCAGGAAGCCACCTTCCTTCACCCCGAGCCCCCCTTTCTGGGACTGAACCCCCTTCATGCTCTCCCTCGTAAGGGAGACTTCTGGGAGATGGGCCGCAGGTGCCCACTCTTGCAGGGGCGAGGGTGAGGAGTTTCATCCTCCTGGGGACTAGGACACAGGCCTGGGCACAGTGAAGACCGGGGACAAGGGTCCTCCGGGACCCCAGGCTGGGCAGGAAACTGGGGCGAGCCCGGGAAGTGTGCCCAGGCCTTCCTCAGTGCCTGGCCGGGTCCTCCAGGCTGCCAGGAACCAGCAGGCTGCTGCCATGTCGGGGGGGGGTTGGCGGGGGAGGGCGCAGGTAATGTTATACTTTTAGGGGCAATTGTGTGCTTTTGTCACCACTTTGGTCTGTACTCGTTCTAGGCAGCTCGGTGGAATTTGGCTCAGAACCAAGAAAGTGCAGAGAGAAGGTCACTCTAGGCGTCTAAGCACTTCCTTGAATAACAGAAACGGGGTGGGAGTTGGGGAGAGAGCCCTCCAAGCATCTAGGTATCCGGTCAGAAGCCACCCCCTCACTCAGCTCCGAGCCCGGTCTGACAGCCTACTGTTTGCCATGAGCAAATCCCAAGTGAACAAAAGTCCCTTCAGCAGCTTTTGGGGCACTAAAGGGTACGTGCAAAGCGGGGAGGTCACCTGCTGTGGTTTCCATTACAAGAAAAGATTTTGCTTCTTAAAACTCTCCCATGAATCTCTGTCTACAGATGAAGTCTAACTCCTTGGTAAGGAATGATGACTTCCCACGAGTGGGCCTTGCCTACTTTCCCAGCACAGTTCCTGCTTTAACAGCTGAGAGAGGCCCCTAACACACGCACAGAATGTTCTTTCCACGCCTCTGTCCTTGGATCCTGTTCATCTTCTCTCTGGACTACCCTTCCCTGGCTGACCCCTACCCACCCTTCAAAATTCAGTTCAAGATTTGATACAAAATGCAACCAAAAAAATCCTCAGAGGAAAATGTGTAGCCTTAAATAATTCATTACAAACCAAACAAGACAAATAAAGAAACTCATCTTTCAACTCAAGAGTCTAGAAAAAGACCAGCAAACAAGCCTGAGGAGAGTATAGGATGAATTTCACAAGGATAAGAGCAGAAATCATGAAACCCTAGTAAGTTGTGGCTTTGTCCTTTGCAACCCGCAGAGCCCCAATTAATGTATCACCCCTCAAAAAAAATTTTTTTTACTTAGTTTCTAATAAGCTGTGCAGAATAAGAAATCACAGTTTCCTGGGTCATTATGTTCTAATACCGTACAGCCTTCAAGTCAGAAAGCTCCTTCGGGTGCCTACCCTCCCGCTTCCCGCTGCTCAGTGTGGCGCCCGGGGAGGCGAGCGGCGCACCTGTTGAGTCCTTGAACATCCACGTGCTGCCGGCCTCCTCCTCCAGGGGGGACCTGCTCTCCGACTCGCTGAGGCGGCTGCGCCGGAGGGAGTGGGAGATGGGAGCCCGGCGGCGGCTTCTCTTGCTGAGCTGCACCCGGGTCTTGAGGGCACTTGAGTCGAGGACTGAGGTTTGCTTTGGGAACAGCAGGGAGGAAGAGGGGAAAAGTGAGGGGCCATTCACTGAGGACACCACCCAAGAGAGAGGCGTGCATCGCCTCACCAATGCCCGAGATCCTCTTTAGGTGGCACATGGGCCAGCATTTCTGCATTTTAATAGTAACGTAACACCCACAGTCGAGCTTTCTCCATGAAACATATCATGTAGGGTGATTACAAGAATCAAATGAAGCCCTGTGCCTGGCACGCAATGACAATGCCTTCCCCTCCTGGTGGCATCCTATGAGCATATAAGCCAGAGTGATGCTCAATACAAAGCAAGAGCTCCACAGATATTTGCTGAATGAATAACTGAATACAGCATCTAATTCAATCCTTACCCTCCACACCGTGTTCCTGTTTATATAGTGGGTGCCCCCATGGAGGATGAACTTGTGTCTTTCCCCATCTCTGTCCTTATCCAGAGGTGCCAGCGAGATGCCTCGACCATACTTAAGGAGGGGAATCCCTTGGGGGTCCTGGAGGAAGCTCCCCTCCAACGCAGTGGTGATCTTTCTCTGGGGGCAATCTGGGAGGCCATCCCCAAGAGTGTGGGCAAGAGGCTTTGCTGCCAGGAGAGCAGGTTTTGGACTCCACAGCGTTTAGACAGTGCGTCTTCAGGAGGGTGGGAGGTCAGCTCCCTTGTCAGAGAAGGAGAGGCATGAGGCTTCTGTGCCTCAAGGACTGACAAGGGAAACCCACCGGACCCCTGCAGGAGGGGCTCCTTGGGGTGGGGGGGAGGGAGGAGCACAGCTGCGGATCTGGAAGGGGCTGGAAAGGGAGGCAGCTGGACCCAGCAGCGGGCACCCTGGAGGGCGCCTCTGCTTGGGTCCGGGAAAAGCCGCGACCTCAGGGCTGCCCCTGGGGACCACACAAGGGTTACCCACGCCGGAGGGGCCTCTCTTTCTTAGAACCATGAGCACCCATTTGCAGAAAGACTTGGATGCCCTGGCACTGGGGACACAGCTCGCTAAGCGAGGCCACGGCAAGAGTGCCCAGCAGGGGTGAGGCGGACTTCCTGCTCACCCCACAGCCGCGGGCTAGGATCAGTTTTCACCTGAACCCATGTGGTTTGAGGCTGCAGAGCCTGCCACGCTGGTAACAAGTGGATATGGAGGCCAAGGCTCAGGGATGTGAGGCATCTGCCCCCAGACCCACAGCGGGTAAGTGGCAGGTGTACAAGCCACACGCAGAGATCAGTCCCCTCTCAGACTGCGCCGTCTGCACCCATCAGAGGGGTGCCTGGCACACAGATCCTACCCCTGAAAGGGGCAGTTCAGCAGGAGATGCTAGAGCATCCCTTTAAGAAGAAATGACTGTTCCCAACACATGCTCCTGGCTGCAAACTTACATCGATAAAGGAGAAGTCATCTACTTTCTGTGCAGCGCAGGTGTCTGGGGCAGGGAGCCCCTCTGTCCCGTCAGTGGACTCCAGGTCGGTGCTGGAGCGGTCCACGCTGGTGCTCCGCTGGTCCCGGGAGCAGTCGTGCTGGTCCCCGGTCGAGGTGGCCTCCGTTTGGGAGGACAGCGAGGACAGGCGGCTGCTGGAGGGCTGCTTCCGCGCTGACGCGGCGCTGCTGTCCGGGGACGGGGACTCCGGGGCCAAGCTACGAGGGAGGGAGGGAGGGCGGAAGGGAGACACGGTCAGGCAGGCTGCACCAGAGACCTGAACATCCAGCAAGGGAGGCGGCAGAAAACAGGGCACAGCTGTGCTCTACACACCAGGGAACAAGGGACAGGAGAGCCAGTAGGAGAGCCCCTTAGGGCACAGCCGGGCGCTGTTCACTGTGCTCGGGGACACCCGGGCGGGTGTGGAATGGGAGGGCTAACCTCATGGAATTAAATATAACCTCGCTAACGCTGAGGAAACTGAGGCACAGAGATGCGAGGTAGCTTTCCCAAAAGGGGAAGAACTGACTCTAGAATCCATGTCCTTGACCGTCTTATACTTCAGGAATTCCTTCCCATGACAATATACTCAGGTACCACTCGGATAACGGGAATCACATAAAATAGAAAATTTATAAATAAATCAAGGTGTTAAATTAAAAAGGCTCTCCCTGCCCATAAAAAAGATACCCACATCAAGAGCACAGGAAAGCCTTACCGTGAGAAAGAGCGTGTGGGCACACCAGACACCAGCTCCTTGATAGGGGGTCTGTCCAGAAAGACGCCCCTGGCTACACCTTTCAGCAGCACCTTTGACCCAGGCGTGCTGGTGCTTCACTTCGGGAGCACAGCTGTGTTTTTTGTCAGCACTGGGATGATCGTATTACTTGAAACAGGTAGGACTTTGGGGTGTGGGGTGGAATTGAGCCAAATCCACAAAAAATGAGGAGAAATATCATCAAGGTGGCAGCAGATGGCGCTGCTACCTAGGGCTGGGAGCACCCGGACGTCAGGCAGGGGGCGCTGCAGTGCCTCTGGGAGACAGGAGGGGGCGCCCACCCCCTAGGGAGATCCCAGCTCTCTGTAAGGGGTGGGGGATTGGAGACCCAGAGAGAGAAGAGGCCCAGCTACCCCACAGCCAGAGGGGGCAGAGGGGGGATTCCAGACCCGCCTGCCTCCTGAATCTGGGCCTCCCTCAGTAGCCCTCAGGCTCTGCCATAGTCCTATTACTCCCGCCTAGCCAGGCTGACGCCCTACAAGCCGTTAACAGTGGCCATATTAAATGCAGACATTGCCTGTAAAGCCACATGTTCCAATATTTATAAATGCACACACAGAGAGAGATATTGAAAAAAGTCTAGAAAGACAAAAAACATTAATGAAGGTTCTCTCTGTGCTGCGATTACTGGTGGGTTTCATTTCCTTTACAACATTTTTATTGGGGTAAAATGCACATACTATGACATCTACCACTAGTGAGATACAGCGTCTTCACAATGCTGGGCACCATACCACTGCGTGGCTCTGGAACACCGTCACACCCCGGGAGGAAGGCTGGTCCCTGATGGGCCATCACTCCCCGCTCGCCTGCCCCCCCAGCCCCTGGCAAACGCTGATCTGCTTTCTACGTCTGTGGATTTGCCTATGCTGGATATTTTCCGTATCATCTAGTATTATTTTTTAATACTTTCTACATTCCCTTTTTACAACAAGAATGCTTTACTCTTATAATTGCAGACAAGGCAGCACTGGGAATATAGAATCGGGATCCACGCCCAGACGCCCCGCCCCACCCATGGCCAGGGGCCCCGCTCGCCCCACCTACCTCTCCCCGCTCTGGTGCTGGTCCGTCCAAGTCCCATACTGGCTGTCGGCTTCCTGTACTAGTGTGTCAGTGTCCTTGGCCTCGGGGGGCCGCCTGGTGAAACACTGTTTCAGCTGATCCTACAAGGGCAAGGCAGACACGGGGTTATTATCAGGGGAAACGCTTAGAACCTGCTCCCAGCTCACACGAACTGAAACACATCATACCCTCCCCCCCACCACGCCCCCTTCAAGCTGCTCCAGCTCCCTACTGCCCTCAGGGGCAGGTCCAGATATCCCCGCTGGGCGCCAGCATGACCACCGTTCGGGGCTTGCCCAGGACGTCACAGGATGCAGGGCTGTCAGTGCTGAGTCCGGCAAACTGGGACGATGGGGTCCCCTCCCAGCCCACAGGGTCCTGCCGGGGCCAGTGCCCCCGACGCTCCTCAGAGCCCGTCTCCGCCTTGCGCTGCAGCCAGGCCGACCTTCTGTCCACCTTCAAGGCTGCCGGGACTTTTCGGTCCGGCACCCGCCATGTGCACCCCACGCCAGGTTCCCACAGCCACCATGCTCCCCGCCATAACGACCGTCCAGCACGGTGTCCGCGGAGCATTTAACTTGTGTCCAGAGTCCACCGAGATGTTTACGCATCACCTTGCATAACTATGTACGGCCCCCCAGAAACCCTGCGGGGCAGAGCTTATCACAATCCCCATTTCAGAGATGAGAACGTTGAGGCTTAGGAGGTGAAGTGACGCGCCCCAGATCAAACCGCTGTCAGTGGGAAGCAGAACCACAAGCCGGGTTGGGCGCTTGGACCCACAAGTCCAAACTGGTAACCACTGGGCCCCGCGGGGCCTGGATCCCTCGGAGAGACTGCTGGAACCACCGAAGCGGCGGCAGGGCCCAGCCCAGTGCCTGGCAGATGGCAGGGAGCCCATCCGTCTCCACTAAATGAACGCACTGCCGGCTCCTCAGCGTGCTCGCTTGGGAGAAGACGGAGGACTCCAGGTGAGACCAAACTCTAACCCCTTGGGCGCCCATTGCCACAGTAACAATTCAAACAGCCTTGGCCTCTGTGCTTTGAAGGATGTTTCCAGATTCCACCTTTTGATGACATGAGGCCAGTAGATGGGGAGGGAACATGGAGGGAGATGGGGGTGATATTCCGAGCACTCATCTTTTGCTCAAAAGCCTTCATCTTTTGCTCAAAGCCTTCGATGGCTCTGTGCTGTCCTCTTCTGAAATCCAACACCCCTTGTTTTGAGCCCAAAATTTCCTGTCCAGTCCCCCTCTCCTGACCTCCTCACCTTATCCCACCCAACCCTGCCCATTCCTGGCCTCTGGCTTTGCTTGTGCTGTTCCTCCTCCTGAACCCTTGCTGCCTGGGTACCCCGGACGCACCTCTGTGCCAGGAAGAGTTGGACAGACAAGTTCTTAACTCAACAGGCATTCACGGAGCACCCACTGTGTGCCAGGCACTGGGGGGCTGGGGGTGGGATCACAACACAGGTGCCATCTCTGAGACTCTACAATTCAGCTGATGTACCCCCCGATGTGGGCACTCCGTCCTCTCTGCTCCCCACGCAGAGCCCGCCCGGAGCCCAGTGGGCACTCAGTGGAGGCGGCACGCCTCCACCCAGCAGTTTCTCTTCTTCCTCCCCAAAGCAGGGGACGTGCCTCCTCACAGCTTCTACGAAGCCGCCCCTCACAGAGGGAGCGTACGCGGCCCCGCAGGACAAGCATGCGCCTGGAGAAAACCTTTGCCGTGTGGCCTTCACTGCGTTGCTGCGCACAGAGTCATAAAGATTCAGTAGGAAAACAGCGGTCGCCCTGAGGGCACAGATGCCAGTGGCAGCTCCCAGTGCAGCACCTGGCCAGGTAAACGCCCACCTCCTACCCATTCTCTTCCTGTCCCCTTCTGGGGACACTTGTGCACCCTGTGATGCTCGAGGGGATGCTGAGGACAGATGTATATGAGGATGGGCCCTGGATTACGCTCGGGATTAGATGGGCGTATCCCCGGCTCCTCCGCCACCCTCACCCTCCTGTCCTCTCAATCCCCAAGTCCTGGAAAGTCTCCTTCCAGAACATTCCGTCCAGCCGTGGCCAGTTCCAAGGTCCCCCTGCCTCCCTCATCTCTGGCCCCATCACCCATGTTTTCTGCACGTTACACTTTCCAAAACTGAAACCTGAGCCTGCAGGGTCCCTCTGGGTAAAGCTGCAAACATCTTAAAGATGGCTTGTGGAACCTTCAGTGGTGGGGCTCCTTCAGTGCCCCTTCCTCGGGGGCCCCTGCCGCTCCTCTCCTGCCAGCCCTGCCTAGACGCTCCCACTAGCCTCTCCAGCCTTCCCTCCCCTCATATTCCTCAGTCCACCCTACCTCACCTCCAGGCCTGCTGAACAGCCCCACTTCCCAGCTGTGGTTCAGATTTTAGCTTTGATGGCTCTTCCTCCAGGAAGCCTTCCCTGAACTCTCCCCCAGCTACAATTGGCTCAGCCCCTCCCCTTCACCCCTCCCCTGTCCCCTAGGCCTCAAGCCTCTGTATCTGTGCTGTCCAATATGGTAGCTGCTAGCCACGTGTGGCGATTGAAATTTAATTTAAATTAACTGACATTTAAAAATACTAAGAAATCACTTCCTCAGTGGCTGTAGCTTCATTTCAAAAGCTTTACAGCCGTGTGCGGCCACCATATTGAAAAGCATACATATAGAGAACATTTTCCCACATAATAATAATTGTAGTTGACCCGTTTCTTTTCAGTCTGCCCAGGGGGTGAGTGCCGTCTCTATAGCCACAATGGCTGCCTCTGAATCCAGGCTCCGGTGCACGGTAGCTGTGTGACCTTGGGGAAGCTACTGAACGTCTCTGTGCCTCAAAGTCTAGACAAAGTAGATGGCGCGCATTTGGTTGAATGCCATCTCAGTCACTACTCTTCCCCACAGACTCCCAAATTTGAAGGGATTCGGGGGTTAGGATCATCTAGGGGAATTCACCTTTCACATGAGGTTTGAGGCTGTTTATCAGAAATTTCCCCAGTCCGCATCCTGGTTACCTGTGTGGACTGCAAATCATTCGTCTCCTCATGCTGGCGGACCCCGGCAGCACGTGTCCCCAGCAAGGCTTGCACCTTGCACCCATGGCTACAACGCTCAAAATCAACAACAACAACAACAAAAAGCCCAACACTCTTCTAAAAACTTCCGAAAAGTCAGACTTTTAAAATTAACTTTAGGTCAAGGATGTTCTTCCACTTCAACGTGGAAGCACATGTGTCCACATGGGCCCCCGTTGGACTGCGTGTCCCCACGCGGTATTTCAGCTGTCACTGATGCGGATCATCACGTCTACTCATTTAGATCCACGAGGCCCTTGGAGTCCTCCCTTTTCAGGTGAGAAATGGAGGCACAGAAACAGGAAGTGCTGCGCAGCTCTCGTTCTCACAGGCAAGTGAGGGGCAGCGCTGGGGGGTCTGGACCCCAGGTTTCTGGGCTACTATCCCAGACTCCCGACGTCCACCTGCCCCACCTTATTCAGGAAGCGTCAGGAGGCTCGAACAAGGACATGCACACCGACATGCTCTACGACGAACGCCGCAAAAGAGCTTTGCAGGTTTCCTAGCACGTGCTGGGACTAGCTCACCAAGCCCCGAGCCACAGTGGAGGGAAACGCTGGTTCCCCATCTTGTAGGCGAACAGGGCTGCCTCAGCCCAGGACTGTGATGACAGCTCTGTTGCACCCAGCCTGGGACACCAGGCTACCAGACGCCGTGTTTCAACAAGCCATAACTCATCCCGAAATTTAAAGTGTGCATACCCTCGCCTCAGCAATTTTGGTTCCAGAAGTTTATCTCAAGAAGATCACTAGACCCGCCTGCCAAGATCTGCGAACGTGGACACTCCCTGCGGGGTCGGTTACCGCCACAAAATACCGGCCACGACCCAAATGCCCCAGAAGCGTGGGCGCGGGGGAAATGGAGCAAGGTGTAGCCGCACCATGGAACAAAAGCGGCCCAGGGACACGATGCAGAGAGAACACCAATGGTCCCAGAGAGAGGCCTGCCTTACGTCAGCAAACATTTTTTAAAAAATGGTACTGAAACAGCATGTGCATTGGGATACTGATTTTGTAAAAAGTGACACATCTAGGCACGTGAGTATAAGCCAAGAAGGTCTCTGCAAAGTCCCACAACCAACCGCTCCCAGCGGCGCTGCCTGGGCTGAGGTTGCACCCTGCCTTTCTTTCCCTTACTGATGCTGGCTTTCCTTAGTAGCCACACCTGTGATTTGATATCTCAACACAATCGGATGATAAAATTAAATAAAGTCATACCTCCGATGTTAGAATCTTGCACACATCATGAATTAGGAACAAGCCAGAAGGGGTTCTTCACTTGTTCATCTATATCAGAGTCTGCAAGCTTTTTCTGTAAAAGGCCTGACAGTAAATATTTGGGGCTTGGTGAGCCATCCGGTCTCTGTCCCAAATACCCAACTCAGCCATTGTTACCAAGAAAGCGGTGCAAGCGGTGAGTGCGGGGGTGGCTGTGTTCCAATAAAACTTTATTTACAAACAGGTGGCTGGCCGCACTGGGCCCACAGGGCACTTGCTGATCCCATATTTGTAGCTTTTAGACGGGCTGTCAGCAGTTCATCCACTGCCTGGCCTATAGTAATTGGTGAACAAATATTTGTTGGAAGAATATGTTTCTGAAAATAACTTTTTTGCAGAGAGTGGGTGTGAGCTTCTTAACCAGAAAAGAAAATGCAGTTAGTGAGGGGGCAGGGGGAGGAGAAGATATGACGCCTGCGTGTATTTTGGGGCATTTGACACACCCGCCTGAGAAAGGGCCCTGAGTCACGGCAGAGCTGGGTGGCCCACAGCTGACAGGGCAATTCTGAGTAATTCAAGATGGGTGCCCCAGCCCCCTCCGCAACTCTACACCCCCAGCTGTGCAGGGAGCTCGGAGGCCATGGGGCCCAGGCTGGCGTGGTCACCTTGCTCTGTCTCGGTGCCCCGGAGGGCCCACGGCATCTTCCTGCCCTGCGCTGGGGTCAAACCTGCACAAGGACTGAGCGGTAACAGCGATGATAACGTCAAAGGCTAACACAAGAGCCGATGCTGTGCCATTCACTTGGT